ACTCGCTATGATTGTTCGAGCCGAGTTGAGCGCTTGAATTTGTCGAATTACTCGAAATCGACGAACTGTTTAAAACAAAAGCGAGCTACTCGAATATTCGAGCCGTCGTAAAACTTCGATTTACTTGAAGATGAATTTTCAGCTCGAATTTTCGAGTAGCTCGCTTTTGTTTCAAAGAGTTAATCGATTTCGAGTAATTCGGCAAATTCAAACGCTCGACTCGGCTTGACCAGCCGATCATTGTTTAATTTGAAACTCGAGTACTCTCACACTTCTATTATAAACCACACCCGCAGTTAAAGAGTTAACTATTAAATTAATAACTATGATTTGTCTTTAATAGCCCCGCCTCCTGTAAGGAATCTACAAATATTGGAAATAGACGCGCTATTTGGAGTGATGGATTTGAGATGGCAAGAACCAGAACCACCGATCAATGGAAAGATAGAATACTATACTGTACGCACTTGTCACTCGACTTGCACGGTTGCTTCGAAAGTGCGACCAACAGAGCAATGTAGTTTATGGAATAAATACATTTGCGCGACCGTTGAAATATTCCATCAACATCATTTCACCAGTTTTGTCACGGTGAATATCATTTTCGCATTCGATTATTTTACGTTTTAAAACAAACAGGTATGACAGTGTTGACGCGGGATTCAGGTTTCAGCCAAGAACGTAAACGTTTCGACGCCCAGCGTCGCGTCATCCGTGCCGATGAATCGCGATGAAATCCAACCAGACGCGCCTAAAATTATCACCGCCAGCGCGCTGGACAACGGAATCGTGAATTTCACCTGGTCCCATCCGTGGCGATCAGGTGGTCGCCTGGTATCATTTCGGATCATCGTTGAAATAATATCATCCCGTCTTCGCATTAAGATTCAGCGATCGCAAATGCTCTCGTTTCACAAATATTCGATCGATCATTATCGATCTCAGTACTATAAAGAATTGCACTTATTATCGTCGACCACTTACAAGATCTCCATTTACGCCGTGACAAACACGGGTCTCGTTGGAGCGACGGACGTTACAGAGGTTCAAACACCTTCGTCCATGGGATTCAAGAAGAATTCAAGCTCGGAGGTGCATCAGACTTCTTCGACTATCTCGTTGCATATTCCTGCCGTCTTAAACGACACGAGGAACAGTTTGACTACCGTGGTTGTACAAGGACCAAGAGCTTGCGAACATTACGAGAAATTGAATCCTTATCTGAGCAAGAAAGTTGGTATCGAGTATTACGAGAACGTCTGGCGTATTTACAGGTTTTCCGTAAGTATCCAATATTTCGATAAAACTAATAATGATGACTGAAATTCATTTTTCTTATCTACGGCAGACTGAAAAATTTGCTGGCAAAACATTCACGATTGATTACGAACCTAACGAAGGCGCCGCGAATTGCCCGTTGAAGCCAGAAGAATCCTACGTAATAGTAATCATTGTGCAAAGCGAAGAAGAATCGCTGGACGATCAGATTATAACGCAAACATCATCGATTCGTATCAGTGACGCATCGAAGCGACACGAAGCGTGGCTAGTTCCAATTACGATAATTCTCCTCAAAGCCGTGCTTTTTTACCTGTATCGCAGGTATTTACTACTTTCGCGTTATCAACGCGATTAAAAAAGAAAGTGAATTCGAAAACATTTTGTAGGAGAAAAAGAAGAAGGTCTCTGCAGAAGGTTATTCTACGAGGAGAAATGGCATTGGCGTACAACAACGACAATCTCGAAGTGAAATCAATTTCCTCGAGCTCGAAGCAACCTTTCACCGCGATGTCCACTCCTTCTGATAAGGAACTGTTATCACGCGCGAACACGCCTCAAGATGATACCACGGTATTCGTGAACGATGCTAATCAGAGAGAGGAACGATCGTCTCTGGTAAAGGTGAAGGATTTCGAAGATTACGTGAAACAAGCAATTCAGTCTGGGCTACTTGAAACACAATACAAGGTAATTGCTTGATATCACTGTCAGCTGTGAAATTTTATGACGATCCGTTCAATTGTTTGTAAAGACGCTTCGACGAGGACAAACGAGGCCATGGGACTACGGAAAGTTACCGGAGAACAAATCAAAGAACCGATACGGAGATCTCATAGCGTGTAAGTGATCCTTGTAAACTGTAATGTACAAAGTCTCTGAAAAATAGTCACGTCCCGTAGACGATGAAAATCGAGTGATATTGGATAAACTTCCCGACGATCCTTTCTCGGATTACATCAACGCTAGTTACATCAAAAGTTACAAGACGGAGAAATGTTACATAGCGACGCAAGGGCCGAAGCCGAACACGGTCATCGACTTCTGGCGGATGATTTGGCAAGAAGAGGTTCTCGTTATTTGTATGCTTGCGAACATCACAGAAGGTGGAAAAGTAAGATCCTTTTCAAAATAGAAAGATCAACACTGGCTGAAAGTTGATAATCAAATTTTCTTAGGTAAAGTGCGAACAGTATTGGCCGGACATCGGGAAGAAGAAGAAATATGGTGAAATAATTGTTTTCAACGCTAGACACACGGTATTCGCGGATTTCACGTTTCGTACTTTGCATGTGTCGTGCGGAGACGAAGCTCGCAAGGTAGTGCAATCGTTGATGAAACTTTTAACCCTTTCGCTGTGGCACTTAACTCGATAGCAAACTTTTCTAAATACTGACGCTAATTACTTTTTAACGACCTGTGCAGTCTCCAATATAAGTGGAGGCAAAAACACACTTCATATGATTGCTAAAACTCTATTCGTTGATATTGATCAAACGAAAAATACCGCAGCGAAAGGGTAACGACTGAATGTTCCTAGGTTTAAACGGTGTTTAAAAATCAGATCGAGCATTTGCATTACACAACGTGGCCAGACCACGGCGTGCCGTTGTCCACGCATTCGGTGGCAACATATTTGAAGAAGGTATTGGCGACACCGACTGGAAGTGGACCGATGGTGGTCCATTGCAGCGCAGGTGCAGGAAGAACCGGCACTATCATTTTATGCGACATTTGCCTGCGACGGATCGCCGTTGAAGGGGTAAAATATTTTCAAGAAATACCCTGGGACATCTTAAAATATTTTACAAATATTTCCAGGCGATCGACGTGTTTGCTGAAGTCGAATCGATCAGAAGTCAAAGGGCTAACATGGTGGACAATATTCAACAGTATCGTCTAGCTCATTTAACGTTGGTCGAGTGCTTATTTTCTATTTCAACGTCTCTTCCGTGTGACGAACACCTGCCAGCAAGAATCATGGAGCTTAAGAAGCAATTAGACGTTCAACGAGAGTGTTTAGAAAAGATGACCTGGCAAGAGCAGGCCCTTCGACCATCGACCAGTCGAGTGTCTCTATCGGAACGCAACCTTGCCAAGAACCGATACCCAGAATTAGCATCAGGTTGGAAATACTTAATTATGAGTTTAGAAACGTTGTCTGACAGTTACATTGCTTCGCAGCAAATTTCAGCCGAGTGTATTTGAAAAGATACCCAGCCACGGACGAGGACAGTGATTATATAGCCGCTGTCTACGTGGACGGTGTAAGATTGCAAAATCAGCACCTAGCAACGCAACTTCCGTTGCCTGGAACGTTGAGCGATTTCTGGAGAATGGTGGCCGAGTACAAAGTGGAATTAATCGTGCTGTTACAGCCACCAGATCCGAAAGATACGGTTGGTATTCGGATCGAACCGATGAAAATACATTTTCACGAAGAAAATCTACTTCTTTCTTTGGAACTGTTCCCAGACTTGCTGTCCGGTGGTTCCAAGCGAGGAATTTAAACCGGTACCATTTATAAACGTTCGATCGAAGGAATTTATCGAATACGAATCGTACACGTCACAGAAATTGGTACTTATCAATAATTTAGAGGTAGGTGATCGAATCTGTTCGCCGGAATGAAAATTTCGATTCTTATTCCGAAGAGAATTTATTACAGAAACCTGTGACGGAACAGCACATAACGATTTTATGCTCTACGGAATGGAGAAGTGGTAGGGATCGAGATCCACCTGCCACGAGGATGCTGGTCACCCTCTGGCAAGCTGCGGAAAAGATTTCGAGAGGAGGACCTACCGCTGTTCTCTGCCAGTAAGAATTACTCGAATCTCGCGAAATGTCTTATTCGGAGTGCTGAAAGATTCAAAACCCCGTATAAATCAAACAGAAATTGCGAAATGTATCTAGAGGTGTATGTTTGTCCAATTAGCGACGGTGTAACCGGCTGTGGACTTTACTTGGCCTTAAGCTTTCTTTTGGAGAGAATGGCTGTGGAAAGGGAATGCGACGTTTGCCTGGCAATTCGCGCGATTAGAAGATCGAGGCCTGATTTCGTCAAATCTTTGGTAAATTTTAAATAAACGCGGTGTTATCTGTTTGAAGTATCTTAGGAAACTGATAACCTATAATTATTTGAATTTCAGGAACAGATGGAATATCTTTACGATGCAGCGATAACGTACCTAGAGTACTTCGAAACGTACGCTAATTTCTCGTAAAGAAATCTCGATTGTTAATCGAGCATAGACAGTTCAATTTGTTACATAAATTGACTCGATTCATTTCAACGAGCTTCCAATCAAGACTGGCTTTTCTAATCTCTTGTATCGTCTCAACTATAAATTACAATCGTTACGTAATCGTTTTAACGCTACGACTACTTATTCCCCGATTTTCATCGTTTTTCATCGCTTTCATGTACTCAAGGCAAACGACTTTCGTTCCCACGAACCTTATCCCGATACATCGTAACGTGTGTAGTAACGACTGTCGTGATTTCGTCTAGATCGCACCATGCATACATGTGAGATTTTCCAACAGTACGTTTAGAATGTCTAAATAATTTTTTGACAGTTCACCAATTTCGGTCGCTTAATATAAATTTCTTACAAAATTATAGAGGATTTTTAAATCATTCTCACAACTCTGTATAAATCATTTACAAGGTGATCGATAATGAATAATAAAGGTACTCACCAAACCGTAGAAAAGTTGAAATCTGTTTTCGAACTGGCTTCGTACTGTGTACAAAGATGGCCGCCCAACCAGTTACGTCATCCAAACGATTTCGCGCCAAATTTCATCAGCTAAAATCGATCTATCCCATCAATGTCACGACCATTGACAGTAGTGTATCCTGAAAGCAAACAATGAAACAAGTATAATTCAACCACTGGTTAATCTCAAAAACACCTGTCACATGTCATTTCAACGAAGTTATTGTTTTCAATCATCGACTTTGATTTTGACACGGCAATAAGAATAACTATCAAAGTCTGCTCACCTTTCTCGTAGTATACGGTTGATTTATCGTGTGACACGTTTCAGTTTTCAACTCTTGTTGTTTGCAAAGATGTTGGTTAATTGATACAACAAACTTTAACGGAATCGAAAAATGTATTCCCGTGAAAAAAAGAAAATAACAGGAACGTTCCGTAGTCGTGCTTCCCTTCCTCCAGTTGCGAGCTTACTGAAATTGCCGCCAGAGGGCGCAAGCGCAGCGCCGATAACTGGTAATCGCCAAAGGTATACACAGTCCACCTCCTGTAAACGTTTCATCTCCGCGGATATCTTCACGTGCGTTTCCGTGTGTCGTGGATCAAGTGGAAAGTATCAAAAAGGTGTGCAAGGTGTGGCTGACAGGGATCGCTTTATTCGTTGTGTTGTTGAAGAAACAGCGCGAAAGCAGACGTAAGAAGAACGTGCCACTCTTACGAGCAGCAGGTAAGAATTTTCATGAATTTTTTCGCTGCTATTCGTAAAAAATTCATGCACGCGTATCCTAGTGTCGTAATCGTATCACTTTTTCCGCAACACGATACGTGTTTTGTGATCGAGACCGTTTGTTTTGTTTGAAAGGCGCCAGAGATGCGGGACACGCGTGTCATGTTTCGATTCAAGGCCAGGGAAGACATATTGGCACGTGAACAGAACCCGTGAAAAAAACGGGCCGCCCTGTATCACGGACAATTGCGATTTTCCGATCGATCGGAAGGCGTTTGTTTGTGCGTATAAACTCCATCGTTCGTCCCGATTGTCGAGTACATTCGCCTGACGAGTTTACGTTTGCGCGTTCTGCGTCACACAAGCCCGCTTGTTGTTCCTTTTCTGTTATATAAGGAACACGCTTCGCACGAATGTGTCGCCGCCATGTTGCTGACGTAATCGACCCGCGAAGTTTGACTAGCCATCGAACGTCACTCCTCTCGTATTACGATCGATCTTAACTAACTTTTTGAACTGTTTGAACTTTAAATAAACGTTTCTTATACTTTATGTTTGTTCACACACGTAGGCGCAAGATTTTCCACGATAAAACGAGAATATATATCGAAATGCGTATTAAATTGAACTTGAAAATTTCCAGACTACTTAATCGCGTTGTTTTTTCGAGTACATCTTTTGAACAAGTTCTCACTGGATTGTCAACTTCTTTCACCGTTAATGAATAATAAAATTATCATTCGCCTAATGACCATCTTTAACAATAACCTCGTATTCGCGGCACGCTATTACGCTATGAACGTTTTATAATTTAATCTGTCCTGTCCACTCATTTATCCATTCACAGATCATCCGACCATGGCATATTTTCCTCCCGCTGACCGTTAATATGCTTTAAGATGCGACTTCCCCGTCGGTACTAACGAATCACGTTTTCGTTACTGCAAAACGCGTCCGTAACAATCATCTTTTTATTCACTTCCGGAATAACCAAGTCGTAAAATATTGCAATAATCTTAATTTTGAGGAAAGAAAATGGTATTTCCAAAGCATGTCGAGAGGCTCCTCTCGATGAGACCTACTTAACGCGGTATCTCGTTTACCTGGCAATCGCGCTCGGCGTTGACAAATATTTTGCGTGATTTCTCGTCAGTTTTCCATTAGCATACACTCTGGATAATATATGGAAAGGCAACAGCCAGGTTTCGAGTGTTTTGTGGGTCACTCGAAGATCCAAACGACGAGCCGTGCCAACAGCAGCAGCCATGAAATCAGAGAAATACCTGATTTCACAATATTCGGCTGACGATATCATTACCATTCCGGTCCACGCGTTTCCAACAGAAATTCGAAAGCGATCGCGTCTTCGGCAGGATCAGGACTCTGTCGCGGCCTGGTAACAAGGGTCTTATTTCTTCTGTTCGCGGATCGACGTCGTACAATTGCGTCTAACTCCGACAATCGATCCGACCGTGGCCCAACTTGACAGCAATTTAAAATCGCTTCTCCTCCTGTGAGCCGTACCAAGTGCACCGCCACCGAGTACCGATTCTCCCACGAATCGCACCCATCCTAGACGTTCTTCCGCCTTCTTCTTCTTTTTTTCCCGAACGAGCAACAGAATTGACACGACTCGTCCGCCGATCGAATTATCCACGGGATATCCGTTCTCCATACAGCAACTCGCGTTATTGTTCCGACGTTATGATTATTTAAGCAGTTATTGCTAGGCCCATTTACAATTATGTTAAACAAGTAATCGTTGCTCGCCCACAACGTGTACATACGTCGACGAAAATCGGCAATTAGCGGCAAATTACTGTGCCTTCCGAAACGCTCGTTTAGACTCGGAGGAAGAGACAGTTTCTTAGATGGTTCGAGGAAAAGTGAAGGCACCGTGTTTTCAGGGAAAATGGCGATCACCTCGCCGAAATGTTCCAAGGAGAGCAAAGTAGAAGCCAGGACTAGAAGTTGGATAGCAAGGCCGATATTGAGCTCGGAGTTCACGGACGATCCGATCTTGGAAGAGGTCTACGTGGGTCTGTTAAAGCAGAAACAGAATACATCAACAGCTATTCAAACAGTATCATCCATTCTGCCGGGTTTTCATCATCTGAAACGCTGTTCATCGAACAAGCTTCTCCTGGCACCGTTACATTCATCAGAACATACTTTAACTTCAGACAAGTTGAAAACGATGTTGAAGGAGAAAGGCTTTGATTTATCCTTGCTGGAAGAAGATTTCCAGGTGTTGAAAGTGCCATCCAGAGCCGCGAGGACGAAAGCACAGGCAGCGAGAGCCACGAAGATTTGGCCTCTGAATTTTCATCCAGATCCTAACATCGAATGTCTGATCGATGGATCCGTGTTCACGGATCAGCAATTGGATCTGATAGAAAGGTACATGAACGTTGCCATAGAAGCCGCCAAATTAGAAGCCATTGGCGACGAGCATTGCAATGGTAGCGCGGTGATCGTTGATCCCGAAGATGGACGGATCCTCGCGATCGCAGCTTCCAGAATCGATCAACATCCGATGTGGCACGCGGTTATGTTAGCCGTGGATCTGGTGGCCAAACTTCAAGGTGGCGGTGCCTGGAAATTGAATAAAGACTCTCAAGAAAGTGTTCAAATAGCGGACGAAGACTATGCAACCAGGGAAAGAAGGATAAAAAGGAAGTACATAGAGGAAGCTCCACTTTATTACCCCTCGTCATTGTCCATCCTTAATCTACCGGAAGAAGAGTCTTTGAAGTCGACTGTTGTTAAACAAGGACGAAGAAACAATGCTTCCAAGAGGACAGATTCAGGGAAAAGTGAAGAAATAAACGCAGAAAAATGTGGTCCTTATTTGTGCACAGGGTACTGGACGTTTCTGTTGAGGGAACCATGTCCTCTCTGCGCCATGGCTCTTTTGCATTCCAGAGTTTCGAGAATATTTTATGGAGTACCTAATCAGTGTACAGGCGTGTTAGGATCTAAAACGGTTCTACACGCTGTGCCAGGTTTGAATCATCGGTATCAGGTTTGGAGCGGTGTTCTGGAGCAAGATTGTCGACGAGTGTTGCAAGAAATCCAGCACAGAAATACGGATTGACTCAGCCGATTCACCCGCAACAATTGATTGTAATTTTCTATTAACCAATGATTCGTGGAACATCCATGACGATGCCTTTAAAAAATATCTTATATGGAATATTCCTCTTGTATTTTATGAAGATTAAAAGAGTGGAAATAAGTCCGCTTTGAATGGGTCATCGATCTCGATCAGTCTGCTTCCCAAATTTGGACACCTGTGAAAGGTTTCGTACCTGATGGTCGTCTAGGAAGCTTAACAGACGTGTTAGTGACGTTCTAACTGCAAACGTAACGACCGGTTTAGAATTTCAATGAAAAGCAGACGGCGTACATGATCTTACACGTGGTTCGAACGTGCATTTGTCCATTACGAGGTAGATATACGGGGCGACCTTGGTGTCTTGGTATAATTTGCAGGAATAGAGATCTCTAACCATCGGACTGTCGCTGTTCCTTTATCCACACGGCCAGCTAAACGTTTCGTTGGTTCCGTGTTACGGAAGACCCATCAAACTTTCTTTTGCAATTTTTTCACTTTAACGTCGTTCAAAGACTAAAAGAAGATCGGATGCTCGACAGATTTAAGGTTCGTAAGGAGCGAGCATAGCTCTGAGACGACTCGTAGTTAATTAATTAAGAAGATGATTCTTTAAAAGCGTTGCGTCAGAGGTAGCAAATATCTGTGCTCCTTTGAAGAACGTTTCGATCATTGAGGCTATAAAAGAAGTCGTTGCAGATGCTCGAGCTCCATGCAGAAGTTTCCTTTGATAATTTGTCATTCCACGTGTCACCCTGAAGAAAAAATCCCGATACGCTTTCTGCAATTATTCAGCTAATCGATCACCTACTTAATATTACTCGAACGAATACCAAATGAACCAGTCTGACCCGATTAACGGTCGATTTTCGACTCGACGTACACGTGACCGGCAACGAGGAGAAAAGCATGTCGGCACGGAATCGATAATAACGAAAGTAATCACTGTCATGATTCGATCGTCCCTTTTGAAAAGTATCAGTCGCTGCGAAACGAACGGCGTGGCACGCGGACGAATAACCTCGTTGCTCGAAGAACGAAGTCGTGTACTTCGCGGCAGCGAGAGACAAGGTCGCGAAGTAATTCGAGGGGAGCATGGTCGTTGATCTCGTGTAGGATCGCTGGAAATGTAGCGCGATAAAGCGGCGACGACGACGAGAAGTTCCTTTTCCGCGATCCGAACGCGACCACCCTTCTTTCCATCGCGTCGTTCGAACGACGAAACTCTTGTTCGCCGAGCTTTCCTCTCGTAAGACGGTTTAATTTGTGTGCAAGCGAGTAGCGCGTATAACAATGACCTCGCGGATTAACTTCAATCAGCGAAACTTCAGACGTCTAACCCCATTGGGCTGGCCAGAGCTTTGCTGGACGGATGTACGTGCAAGCACGCGCTTAGGAGAAAATGGTGGTAGCAGGGAATTAGGAAGCAAGACAATTCGTTTGCCGCTCGAGCAAATAGCATCTTTCGAATCTTCTCTGTTCCCATTCTTACATACAAGTAAATAAAGGCAATTCATTGATCGAGTTTAACTTATTTGTTCCCACAGTCACAGAATGATTGATCGTGAAAAGTTTGCTAAACACCCGAGTACACGAGTGTTCCATGGACATATATTAACCTTGTTATTTCAGGTTCTCCATCCGCCATCTTAGTTTAGCTCGTCGATTTTCTTGGACGAAGATACTAAGCTTCTAAGCTTAAGGAGACGATTTGGAGAGACGGATATATCTCGTATCAGACACACCTCGAAGCTTCACGGAGAAACTCAGTTAACGACCAAGAAGTTGTTCCACGTACTTCGTTGCACTAGCTGGCACGTGGTCGTCCATTAACGTCACCCGGAAACGCATCAAGCAGCTACCTTGTTTCTTTCCACCGTTTATTCAGGCTACGCCGTCGACGCTCGCGAAGCAGCGAAAGATTCGTCTTCGCGATTTCATTGAAAGTTTCGCGACGAAAACACGGTCGTTCGGAGATAACGACTCGAAAGTAATTAATCCACGTGGCAAACAAGCAGCCTTTACGACACGGTTGTTCGTCGAAACTCGACGAAAACATCTTCGTCCTCGTTTCTCAACGATATCAGTAGAAAGTTTCAATCTTGTATCGTAAAAAAGTTAAAGAAAAACGAATAAAATATTTGAAAATTGTCTATGAAAGAATAGTGGGGCAAAGAATAAGTCAGGTATTAATGAAAATTCAAATTCAATACGTCACCAAATACGGGACGATTGTACGAGGTAAACCGAGTCACATTTTGCTCATCAACACTGAGTGGTTCCAATTGACGGGTCGGGTCGACCCTCCAGCGTAGACACTATTGGTCAGCCTTTTAATACCAACGGTCGCGATTGGATCGGATAGCCGGTTCGTTCTTAGACAGAAGACATAGCCGGAGCATTCGGTTCAAAACTTTTAACGTCGTCAGTGTCGCGCAATTTACTGTCCCACACGTCGTCGTCGCCGTCGTCGTCGTAAGGGTAAAGAGACGAACGAAACAGACATTCGCTCGTCCGGTTTATCTCAGTCGGTTTTAAGTCGGTCAACGGTAACAGCGAGCCTCGTAAAACGGAATCAAAAACGACGGAGAAAGAAGCGACTCTATCAGGAAGTCGACGCTACGAATACACCAAAGACTCCCACGCGACCAATTTCAGAAGAGGATTCGCATCGTTGAAGGTTCATTGACAAAGCCCAGTCGTAAATAACAGCGTTCCAGCCGACAGCGACGCTTTAAGCGATAAAAGCAGAAGTCTAGATCACCAGGTGAATGGCTCAAATCTATTGGCTGTTGCTCTTCGAAAGATCTTGATCTTGATCGTGATCGTTATCGGGAAGCAAAGAAACCTTGCTTGACTTTGGAACGTTTCAAGGAGCAAACGGATTGACGTCCGCGTCAGAAGGTCTCAGTTCCTGAGTTCGGCCGAGAAAACATCGTCCTTTGGTGATTTTCACGAAGGATTCGTCTTTCGGAAGATCGAAAGGAGTTTGGGAAACTGTCGAAGAGCGAAACGCGTCTCTCACTTGGTCAAACGGCAACGAAGCCTCGTTCTTTTCTTCACGATCAACTTTGTCTTTCTGTCGGCACCATGGAACGAAGGATTCTGAAAATGTGGTGACGACGTGTCAGGCGAAGGCCTTCGATTACCAAGACACTATCGAGTGTGTGAGCCATAGTCGTTAGACAGCAATCGAGATAAATATTTTCCGTGTCCAGTGACACTCGTTCAGAGCAACGACATCGTTCAGGCTGTTTCTTAACCGAAACAGCTTAATCGTGAATAGAATTCATCGGATTCGATCTAGATCGATCACGATCCTGTTTAAAGTTTCGTACGATCGAGTTTGGTAACAGCGATCGACTGTGATTTTCTAAAGGACTCGATAACGATAACAGACATACGATCGCAGAACAACGAAGTACCGTAGTCCTTTCCCATAGCTGAGAAATTTCGCTGAGGAGTAATAGTAACAAAATGCGTTGCAGTCAAGGTGTGGCAATGGTATTCGAGGACGCGTTCGTCGTCTTTTCGCGTTTTTTGTCCCTCAAGTCGCGGGGTTGCGCACTATTGGAAACGCACCGGCAACGCGAGACAACTGGCATCAAGAAATTGTACAACAGCTTCTTCGTGATGTTCTAAGGCTAACTGTTGCCCGAGGAAAGTCGGCCCTTTAACTGACGGTGGTCGAGTGATGCACCGTGCACTCCCGCGACACCTTCGTGGATCCTTCCTGAAGGAAACAAACGCGGAGAACGCACGAAACAAGCTGGTGAAGGTTTTGCTTCTTAGAGAAAGATAAGATAGGAAACAAAGGGACCGAGGAGCATCGTTAACCGCAGAATGCAGACTAGCGTTTAGAAAAGTTCAAAGAAAAGTCCTTCAAGTTTTTTCATCCTGGACGATCCGTTAACTAGCTTGAACTTACCGGCTACCAAAGCCTTCTCCAGAGAATCTTTCAGCACTCGAACGACAAGGGAAAGAATTTGAATCAGGATCATAGGAATTCGGTATCAAAACGCTGGTGTAACAGAATAGATAAACTCTCGCGGTACGAGTGCTTTGAGATTCAGGATCGTTGAATGGAGCTCCAATTCATCATGGACGGTAGTGCAGACTCTTTGAACGGGACCATATGGTTTCCAAACACACCGTCGCCTCCGTACGTGCAACTGTCCCCTGTTCGTCAGAACAGATGCGACGCCATCGCTTCCCAACACGTAAGTATGACTATTTTCCACGAGGATAATTCTATCGGGTCGTTCCACAAGTAATGTCGTTTTCAAACCCAACTTCAACAATAGAGCTACTGGAGTTCGATGCATACCCACTTTTGAATTAAAACTAAAGGAGAAAATCGGATTTAATAAGTATCCCACACTTGTCCTTACAAGGATTAACCGCGTAATAGTACCATGGGACGATATTCCTTCCAAAGAACAAGTCAATCCCGCGAATCCTCTCCCGAAACTGACCGTAATCAAAAATTTTATAGGCGTCAATGGGATATCACAGTCTACAAAATTCTTTCTGGCAGGACAAATACGGTTCACCGAAGGATTCTCCCGAGGACGGTGTCCAGATACGTTCGAACAACGAGTCGCTTCAACATTTCAGCCCATCGTCCGACGATGCTGGTACAACCACTCCTAATTGCCAGCAACAAAGCAGCCTGAAACGTCGAGCCGGAGAACCGTTGCCACAAATTACCGAACTCGAGAAGAAGCATGCTAGACGAGATGGTTAGTATATTCCTAAGACGATGAAACTGCAAGTTTTATCGGTTAATACCGTTCAACAATAGAGTAGGTTTAAGTTTACTGGATGATGTAGCATGGGTTTCGTTTTTTAGAGTAGTTTAGCTAATACGATTGAACCTTTTGGTGTTTAGACATTGAAGAATACGAAGAGACCAGGCACAGATGTTCCCTCTATTCCGTTTCTGTGATTTTTAAGAAGTACTCGCTTCTCTGTGTACCCATTGTCGCTATCGTTCTGCTCTCGGTGTAGATACGTCGAAAGGTCGTGTACGAACGACCTCAGATACACAGTCGTAGGCGCAGACGTTTTCATTTTAATCGAGTATATCTTCCTAGGAAGAATAATCTCTATACGTTATTATCTGAGACCTGAAATTGATATGTAGTAGTTTTTGGTGATCAGGAATTTCACTTACCCTGTTCAAATTTCAAGACAGCTCCATTGATTTTTGAAAATAAATTCTCAAGTGCAAGAGCTGCTCAGTTATCATCGATTCACCAGCATCCTTGTTGGTCTTCCATCGATGAAAAATTCTAAATTTTGTCAAATATAAAGAACGCGTGCTCAGAGCGAATGGTTGCTTCGAAGAACAGTTCAAGACTGATCGGCAACAAACATTCTTCCCGACGTTCGACGCCTTTATGACCACGTGGTCGTAGAAACTGATAACTCTTAAGTACACGGTATCTCGCAGATTATGTCTATCCGAGGAGACAGAAAGAAGCCAATATTAACTCTCCAGCCGACGGAAATTACGCGAAAGGTGTACGGCTATCTTCGAGTTTTGTTTTGATAGTGTTTCTTCAGGTGTGTGCCTCGTGTTCGTTTAGTTTGTCAGAGATAGAGAATGAAGTGGTGCGAAGTGGACAGCTCTAGGCTGCCGTTGCTACAGAGTCGACGTTATTCACCAATTACGTCGAAGAATCGACGACGGAACGCGGTCATAGCTATTCAGGAAGCGAAGCCTAGGATGGGAACCATGCACCATCAGTTTTACATCAATTATGCTAATCCACAAGGTGGTACTATGTCGATTTTGGAAAATAAGTTCCGAATTTCTCCCAAAACCGAAGGCAGATGATAGGAGGTCCTCTCTGTACCCTTAATTAAAAGAAGTCTACATCCTCCACTCTACATTACTGGCTTGAAATTCTAATTCAGAGTCTTTTGTGTTTGCAGGATCTGTCGGAAGCAACAGTTCCGGCCAGGGTTGGTCCAACCAAGTGGAGGAACTGGCAGAACATCTTGCCGCCGATTTCGATGGATCTCTGTCAGCCCTCGCAGCATCAGATCTCGCGACAGCCGTTGCTTCTTACAACATGAGGTAAATATTTTCAGAAGATTTTCTTAAAAGCTGCCCAATAGTCAGGTGAATTAGAACCCAAAATGCCGACTCTGTAGACTCTTACTGAAAGCTTCTTCGAGTATAACCGATAGTCGATCATGAAGAGCCTCTTGGGTCGCGAATTGCTTTAGTTGGAGTCGATAAAGTAGATTTCTTTGGAGACTAGAATCGAATCTCGATTAAAACCTAGCTGGTAGTGGGAAGAAACATGCCGAACGAGGAATCCGGTTGAAACCAGACACAGTTGTCGGTGTTTCGTTGCTCGAACGACACACACTGGGAAATCACGTTGCTCACAAACGTTTATAGACGCTTACCGAGTGTAGGCGCGTACAGACACACGTGCATTTCTGTCCCGGAACCAATTGTTACGACTTTTATCTCTGAAACACCTAACATCCGGTGCGAAGAGTCGTCCAGAACATTTGTGTCAATACCTTGAACTCTACACGTTTGTGACAGTGTTCATTATACTTTTGTTTCGTTTATTGGACTCTGTTCTGCCAAATTGTCCGAAAAAAGAATCTTTTCAATTTCACAAGAAAAATTAGCTGTTATTTCAATAACGTGTTTTGAAACGAACGTTTATCAGCCGTTTAAGCATACTTTTCATGTTCGATTCGTTTTTTATCGCTTCCGCCAAAGTCTTGACGATAAATCATAGATTATGGAATAACTGGAGCACTGTTGCTTAATCGAATAACATTAAGATCAAGGTTTAATGACGAAACGAAGCGAGTAATATTCGTTCATATCGAGGGAAAGTGGGATAAAAACGAATATTGCGAAGGTTCGACGCGAAAAAAGCGGGAAAGTTTGTTGGTGATCAGCTGATCGAGACACTCGACGCGTCTCTGCGTCGCGGAGAAACGCGGTTCTAGTTTTTCCATGATTTATGAATGAAAAATTGCCGAAAACCAATTCCTCGTGATACTGATCTGTGAGATCATAATCCTTGTAACTATTCGTGAGTACGGAACCAGTTATTCTCGGCGATTTGAGCCCGGTGCGGTGAATCACTTTCCACTTTCTCGTTCTTCCTATTTAAATGAGCGCTAAATCTTGGCGCCCACGTGACAACGGGAAACTTGATGAAATTTGAACTAGTGTACCTAGCGTAACTTGTGATCGAAGACTGTCTATGGGGTTATCGTTATATTTTTATGAAGAGGAAGAATCAAGACTAATATTCGAGTATCAAAATCATGCATCAGTACTTGAAAAGTGGGTGAGTGATTAGCATGTTTAACCGTATGTCCATTTATGCTGACTAATGTAAAAAATATCGGAAAAAGATGATTTAATGCCATATTTTCGGCGATGTCTTATCACGGTACTTTGCCTGTACGATATTAATTTCGTTGCATTCGAGAACCGGTACGTTCCGGTTTTAGTTGACCTTAGCGACTCAATTCTTATCATAGCGGTTCTCAAACTATTCTTACGTTCTTTGTATCAGTTATTGAGTTGAGACTGATATTGATTCTATTTTTTTAACACCCCAAAGAAAATAATGGATGTTGAATTTGAATTGATAATACTTTTTCATTATTAACAGAGATTAGGTATTGATAACAGATAGATACCTTCTTTGTATAAATTAAAAGTTGATGTATACGTATAATTAACTATTGTTCCCAATCGATCAATGTTGATCGATTCTCAGTCGGTTATATTACCGAGCTCTGTATAATCAGTACCTAATTGCCAATGAAGGAAACCGGAATTTATCGGTTAGTATCGGATCGAACATCCTTTGATCGGATGAAACCAAACCAAGATTGTCATTACGAACAGTAAACATAATTATTGTGATTGAAATTGCGTATCAAATCTCTTCGTCCCAAAAAAATAATAAAATCTAGCAATACAGAACTGTAAGCATAGCGTTCATTTGTTTACAGCGAAGCCTTGCTCGCTTTGCCATCGTTAACGGTCTTCAAGCAAGAAGCACCATCGCCAGAAAACCAGCAAAATTCCAAGTAAGTCCTTTTTGCATAAGAACCACTTGCTTTTTATACGCCTTGGTTCTGTCGATTGTCAATTTTCGAGGACTCGTATACACTTCGTTCAAAACAAAAGGGGTTAACAATCTGCGTTATCGTACTAGTCACCGCAATTTTTTCTTTTTTTTTTTATTCACTGTCCCAGTAAATGTGTTAAGTCGTTCATGGTGGCATCAACAAAGAAAACAAACAAAAGCTAAGCGGAATTTGCCGTAAGACTCCCCCGCAGAGAGAAAGAGAGAGAGAGAATTAGCCACGATAAGGCATCCTATCGTTGTGTTTCTTCACGCAATTATCAGTCGAATGGCACGCAGGTCAGACCTTTACTATTGCAAGGTTCCTCCGCAGTTATCGTTCTCCGTTTTACCCTGTCAGCGGCGAACGCCAGTCGTTCGACGGATGAAACCGTGCGAAAAACGCGATTCCCTCAAAACGTGACGCGGTTTACGCTTCGACGCGATCCCACGGAAGTAATCAGTGTTACGTTTATCTCCGTGACGTTGCTACTCGAAAAACGACGAGGAACGAGGCGTGAAATCAACTATACTTAATCTCCGTCCATTAATTTGAAACTTTTTCTGCGCACTCCACTTTGGACCTGAAGGAAATTTGCATTTATGCGCGGTTGTAATTAAAATGGAAGCATTGCCAGCGGAGTGTTTTGCAAGTTGCGCGAGTTTTTGTAGAAATGATCGTTAATTAAGAATTCTAATCAGCGGCATTAGTCGCGAATCAAAGTACGATGAGAAGTGCTTCGGATTTGATCGTACCCTCTTCGGTGTTTTTTAATTTATAGTGAGTGAAGCGAATCCGTCTCGACGGTGTTAATCAACTGTTGATAAAATTACACGTTCAATGTCTGCTTCAGTTTAAACCACGTGTCGCAAAGAACGATCAATTCGACACCAGCGAACAACGGGAACAGCCCTGCAGAGGCTGACAGCAACAACAACGGTCAAACAACGACGAATCTTCATCAGTTGCTTTATTCCTCGAACGAAGAGTATCCCCCGACCTCGTCATCGGGAAATCATGTGTCTTCCTCGCAACAGGGAAACGAGCTTAACGAGGATTGTCGGTACGTCTGTCGATGATTTATCTCCTATGTGAGAAAGTGGAGTTTTTGATACTGTTAATGATGATATAATATTTGCCCATAGCTTTCAATACGTGCTCGCTGCCGCCACAAGCATCGCAACGAAAGTCAACGAGGAGACGCTCACCTACCTGAACCAGGGTCAGTCGTACGAGATTAAACTGAAAAAATTAGGAGACCTGTCCGCGTATCGCGGAAAAATTCTGAAGGTACCCTATCATTTGCATCCTGTCCATCGAAACGCGTCAGCAGGTTTTCCTGTGTTTGGGTATCGACATCTTACAAAACGTACTGATCTTCTCGCGAGGTCACTCTCAATTATCATTCAAATTTTCAAGCTTTGAAACTCCATTATCGCGTTAAACTAATCGTCAATTCAGCGTGAGCTCATTAGGTGCCGGACGTTCGAAAGATGTGTCACCCAAACGGTGCTACAACGTCTCTGAAGGGACACGCAACCTTTCTGTTTCAGTCGACGATCCGCATATGCTTCCACGAGAGGAGGCTTCAGTACACCGAACGGGAACAAATGCAAGCTTGGCAACGCGCAAGACCCGGTGAGAGATTGCTCGAGGTCGACGTTCCTCTCAGTTATGGGATGGTGGACGTGTGTCAACCGTCCCCGTCCAATAACAGCGTGGAATTTATGTGGGATCCCACCAAAGAAGTCGGCGTTTATATAAAGGTAGAGGCGACAGGAACCAAGATGGATTTTATCCACCCAATAAATAAAATGCTTGAATTATTCCTTAACCCTTCTAACTCAATCCTGTGAAAGTCTTATATTCGGACGTGTGGAAACAAAATGTCGGAAAAAGGTTAAAGCTTCAGTGGCCCGCCGCCAGAGGGCTAACCCCTTGTCTTAGCCTTCTTTATTGCACCCTACAATACCTTCCGGACGAAGAAAATAAGGCAAGGGGTTAAATAAAATGGCGTTTGCTCCTTTTTCTCTAGGTGAACTGTATAAGCACCGAATTTACGCCAAAAAAACACGGTGGGGAGAAAGGTGTACCGTTTCGAATCCAAGTGGAGACACGATTACCAGGTGGTCCTCGTCTGCATGCCGCTTCTTGCCAGGTGAAGGTATTCAAACTGAAGGGAGCTGATCGTAAGCATAAACAGGATCGAGACAAGATACTTCGACGACCGCCACACGAACAGGACAAATATCAGCCAAGTTACGATTGCACGGTCCTCTCCGACGTAAGTGACCTCTTGATATGTCCATTGTTGCAAGATACTGTGGGGTTCAACGATGATGAGGCGAAAACGAATGCTAATTCGATTTAAATGGAGTGAAGATTATATTTGTATAAATGGTTACAACCCGAACCGTCTAGACTATGGATAACCAAATTACGACGAAACGAGACTAAAATACGAACGACACACGATGACTGACCCATTTGTAAGGTCCTCGACCACCCCCGATTTTTCGACTTTGGGGGGGTTTATCAGAAAAGCCCTTTACACTCCATGACCTGGGAGAGGAAGCGCGTTGCAATTCTCGCTTCACCAGGCCTGTAGGCCCTCGACGCGTCATCATGACCCTATCGTAAATTATTTTAACCTAAACTAAATGTATACGTATAACTAAACTTAACACTATAGTGCGTCCAACGGAACGAGTCAATATATACAGGGAGATTCTCTCGGCGCGCAACACAATAGCTGCCCCGCACAATGGAACCCTGCTGTGTTTGCGGGCAAAAAGCCCAGGAGGTCAAGTCGCTGGACCCAAGACACACAGAGCAGTCTTGGGTCCGGCGACTTGACCTCCTGGGCTTTTTGCCCGTAAACACAGCAGGGTTCCATTGTGCGGGGCAGCTATTGTGTTGCGCGCCGAGAGAACCTCCCTGTATAAATAAGTCAAGTGTCGAGTTCAGGGCCAACTTTCGGCGGTCTTTTGCTGTGGGCCCTTGCTTAGAAAGGCAGGGGGGAACTTAACGTTTTTCAAATCCCGTATATAGGGTGCGCAAAAATGATTTGTCATGATTTTGGGAGATGACTTTACACCTATTATTGTTCCAAACGAAGTAGCTTCTTATTGTTTAGAATGCAGGGATCGACCGTGAGCCGACCCTACTTCGTGCCCGGGAATTTGTATACATTTACTAACTCGTCTCGTTGGACGGACTATAGAAGATGTCCACTATCCTACAATACTAACTCGAAGATGCCTGATTTTGATTACAGATTCCTCTAGACTCCTTATCGCCGTCCAGTTTGATAACTCAAAACGGAGGCAGCCCTTATGCTTCCACGGAGGCAATGTAAGTATAGTTCTAATTTCAGTTTTGCATCTCGATGTGTTTACTGCAGCTCTTCGTGTTTTGTCTGCTAACTTTTGTAACCGTTTCGATAACATCACTGTTTGCTGATACCACAAATTTTTGTATCTCCTTCTTTCGCAAGCATGCTTGTAAATTGCATCGATTATGCAGTAATTGCCGGCTGTTTATAATATCGTAACAAACTTATCGTTGGGTTATCTCGGTACATGAAAAAGTGTTGGTAGTCGTATACAGACGTGGCAGGTAGTAAATTTTCCTTTGCTATGTAAATATAAACTGGCCCGTTCCGGATACTACAAGTTATCGCCGTCCAACCGAACAAATCGTCGCCCACCTTCTTTTGTAGACAAAAAACAATCAGTTGAACGCATTTCGAGTAACACGGTGGTCGTCTCTGGACATGTTTGGTGAACCATCGAAGTCGTCACCACCTTTGATCTCGATAGTCGAACCGGATAGATGGAGGACTAATTTTTCCTTTCAAAACATCCAGCTATTAATAGATATTGTTGTAAACAAAGAACGGAGAACGCGTCCTCCATGTTAACGCGCAAAAGGAATAAGCCTTGCTCTTCAAGGTCGCTCTTCCAGCCGTTAAGAGGTTAACGCGTTTGAGCGGGAAGAAAGGCGGAAAAATCCCGGCCCGATAGGACGAGTAGGAAGAAAATTCGAAAGGAAAAAAAAAGTAATTCTCTCACGTAGGATGCATCGCCACGAGAAGGAGAGCAAAATACAGAAATGCAACGCTGCGTTGCCGTGTCTCTTTCGAAACGACGATGGATCAAAGGCGTTTCTGGTGGGGGATCGTGGATGAATCGAAAGGTGGAGGAGGTAGAAGCATATTATATAGTTAGTGTATAGTTGGTGGTGTGGCGGAAAGCGTGGCGATGGTAATGGCAATGGACGATAGGAGGCTCGGGATAAAGTGGTGGAAATAGAGGAGGTGCCCAAGCTCGGGAGTCGAGAAACTGGCTCGAACTGGCACGAGCCGGCGTCTAGTACAGCCGACAACGACGCTTCGAGCGAAAGAGAGAGACAGTCTCGACGTCAAATAAATTCAGAACGCAGCACGATACACGCGTCACCGCGCAGCCGCTTGGTTGGTTCTCTCGTTTATATCCATCAGCCTTCTTTCCACGGAATCGTTCGACTTGCCGGGATACAGTACCGATCTCGGAAGCTGGGATTCGCATTTCGTGCTTCGGCTTCGTTTTCGTCTCTCCCACCTCGTCGACGCGTCGAATATTCCCCACGATCCGTCGTCGGTGAACAGTGAACGAAAAACGGTACCCAGTGAGAGTCGCAGACATGATCTACCGTTGAGGCCGCATGTTTTCTAAATAAAGCGGTGATCGGTGACCGTCTTTTCGTGTGATTCGCTACGACAGAACTGGTGAGATTCATTGGGTTATAACTCGACGGTTAATCGATACGACTTGAAGTGCGCTGCTGTCGGCCCAGAAAAAAGATCTCGCGAGATCCAGAAATTACTGCCGCGATCGCCGAGTGTGTCCCCCTCGACAACGTAAACGTGTTACGTCAGCCACGTTCAACATCCGAGGGAGTTGAATTTCACGTGCGCACTGGTCGCCCCGGCGGAGTTGTAGCGGTCCGGTAAACGTAAACGGAACGTCGTGCACGATGCACGGTAATGAGTGCTACGATTTCTACCGTGTGAAATAATCTGCGAACCGGAAAGGACTTTTAGTTACGGTCGCTTTCCGGCCGCGCGGGTCTACGTCCTTCGGCCAATCGAGCACCGGCAACGCCATCGGATTACAGCACCGACCGTGAACGTAAAAATAAATCCTTAGCTGATTCCGAAACTCTGCCACAGAGGCAGTGTCGATCGAGATACGAGGGAGTTATCGATCACGGCTTCCCTGCCACGCATGCGCGTCCACATCTCAGGCACTTAGAACGAGCCAATAAAAGAGACGCGTTTTAAACGAAACGTGCGTGTATATGTGATGTTGAGAGAATCACGAGCACGATAATTATCACGCATCAGAGTCTGCTCTCTGCGTATTCGTCCACCTTGCCGAGTAAATCGTAACCGCAACGACGAGCGAAAAACACTCGAGAAATCGGCGACAGTTTATCGAGCTAGGATCGAATCGAGAACGAAGCTGCTTCACACCGTTGGAATGCCCCGGTCCGGTGTAAAATTTCGATTTCTATCCGATCGTGCTCAATCGTCTCGCGTGTCGAACATCCTTAACCTGGAATCGTTACGCGTCGACGATCAGAGCGTGCTTGTGTATGAGATCCTGGCCAGCCAGGTGCTCCTGTCACGGCAGGATCACTTGCTCAGATGACGAGCAGCCTGGCCGCCGAAAAGCTGATGCCAGGGCGGTTCGATTCAGCCTTGAACTGAACGTATTCACCAAGAATTTACGGATACTTTTATTCTTCCTTTGTTTTCAAAGAGAAACAGCCTGTCCTCGGACGCTATTCTGGCCTCTAATTGTTCAGAAACAGGAAGAATTACGTCAAAAGATGCGTTCAAATCATTCACTAGCTGTTGTCTAATGAACGACTTGTCGTAAAAGATTACGAGACCAGACGAATGCAGATGGTTACCGATATGGTCCCTAGAAGAGCGAGATAACGTTAGATAAAAGACTCACAGAGTTCGAAGATATTGAGATAAGGAATTTTCGAAGAAAAACACAACTTTCCTTATCGTCACGAAGCGAGACTATTTTTTAAATTTAGCGCAACAGTGGCGCGCGAACCGACGAGACTAGAGATATCCGGTTCAGAGCAGACTCGTATTCCAATGACGATCTGAATCGCACCGATCGTATCCGATTCGTAAGGCTACTGCTTTGCCAATCGAAACTTTCGAACGATCAATCGTGGATCAGTCAGTCACGATTGAAATGTAAAACTGCCTATACTTTGAATATTTAGCACTTAAAAGACGCCTCAATTTAACATTTCTTTCTTTTGATCGTAATCGAGGTGACCAAGAAGAAAGGGTAGTAAAAATGTAGTCCCTGGTGGTTACACGTTGTTCGATATTGAACCAGTCTGGATTTATTTCGAAATTAGAGATCGGTTCTTAGAGAAATTTCTGGACAAGAGAAAATAGAATAGAGAAAAAGATTGAAGACGAGAAGTTTGGGAACGCAGATGGGATTTAAAAGACGCGTACTCGAGATGCCAAAGAGTTGTTCGAATTGGAGGTTGAAGAGCTGTTGGGCCATCAGATCGGCCGCGAAATTTCGTGGTAATGCCTCCTCCTCGGTTTACCTCCTGGAACACGAAGTAACAGTGAGCGGTGGGCCCCTGCAAGTTGAACTGGTGGCTAAGTTTGTTCATTCTATTTCGGAATTCAGAACGCGGAGAAGCAATCATCTCATGCGGGGTGGATTAGTCAGCCTCGCAATAAGGAAAGGCAGAAATAACAAAAGGATCGACGGAAGGGAAATCTCCAAACTGATATTTCACTTGAAGAGACATTCCATGTAAGAAATAGACGAGCGATGAAATGTTTTGCGTTCAGGAATAAGAGACAAAGGAAATTGTTCTAGTTTGCGTGTTTCTAGGTTTCATGCTCGCGCGCTTACATAACTCTACAATAAATTAGACGATTTTTAAGGTCAAGGATCAAGTAACGCATTATTTATTCTTTGCCACGTTTCGAACAGAATCGTTCATTCTGCATGATGATCCTCGTTCACCGACTGCTTCTGATGACTTAATATTCGTACAGCACTATAGGTTCGGTGTCAATTATTATCGTGTTTGCTTTCATTGCATCTAATGATGTTAATTCACGTTACGCTTAGGTATCAGTCCTCTGTAACCTTTATTTCACAATGTATCCGGTTGATGAATGCAAAAGGAGCTTGTCTATTAACGGTGTAATAAAGCAACTAATGACATTGTACTAAAGGAAGGAAATCTTGTTATAGATCACCCCAAACTCGGTCTACCGTAAGTGGCAATACTTCGCCGGTAGCAGCACCGTTGGCACTTTCAGTTTCCAATTCCAGTATCGTACCAGTAGTTCCTGCTTCTGATGCTGTGAAGGAAAACATAGGAACAGCCCCAGCTCTGCCATCGCCCGCAGCTATTTTGCCAGATCAGTCCTGCATCGAAACCGAAGTTAGTTTGTCAGCAGATTAGTGTTAATCCGCTATTGTACTAACGATGTGACAGTACTCCAACATAGTCCTCTGCTGATTATTTAACCAAATATATGTACAATATCAATCATAGTGTCCGTTCGTCTAGTGAAAAAGCACTGACTTTGGAGTCTAAGTTTAACCGCAGCATATATCATAAATCTAATTATTTAATAAAAGCGTTAAAGTAATTAACATAATCATCTGATAAAAGCTTTCGAATATTCAATAATTTAGAATTTCAATAATTTATTTGAAATTACAAAATACACTAGGCGAACGGACACTATGATTGATATTGTACATATAGTCTTTCTGATCTAACAAGGAATAATCCCGAACCCGAAAATTCAAAACATTATGAAACTTTGTGAATATGTGGGGGATGTCCTCCTGATTAAAACGCAATTTTCGTTCGGTGCCTGTTTTCAGTCTAAAGGGGTGAAAATCGCCCTTAAAATTTTGGACGTTTTATGTGTTTTTTTTTCTTTTTCTTCAAAACCGTTGGAAATATCGAAAAATTTCATAAATAAATGTTTAGCATAGCATTTTTTCATATTGAAATAAGTAATTGTTTTTAATCATTTTTGTTTATAAGTTCATGTAATTATTTAAATAATTTCTTGCTTTAGTATGAAAAAATACTATACATTAGAACGAACAACCTTTGCTAACGAAATTTTTCGAGGTATTCAACGGTTTCGAAAAAAAAGAAAAAAACAGGTGAAATTTTAGGGGCGATTTCCACCCTCCTTGATAACGGGCAGCAAACGAAAATTACGTTTTAATCAGGACATTCCCTACATATTCACAAAATTTTCTAAGTTCCCACATCTAAAATAATCATCTACTAAGCATCTTCACTGATGGTCCATTGACACTCCTGAACAAAATGGCGCCCTCTACTTTTATTGTACCACTCATCAGACACAATTAGTACCGAAGCTCAGCTGCAAATATTACTTTACAGTGCAAGTAATAAAAATAATATTTGTCTGATTACGTAGGGCGCATCGTGTCTGACTCAATTGTCGCCAGACGCCAGTGCAGCACAAACGACCACGTGGCTTCGCGCGAGTCGTTTCGGCGCTTTCGAATCGACGTTCTCAAGCTTCTCGGCTTCGGACATCCTGCGACTCTCCCGAGACGACTTGATCCAAATCTGCGGTCTAGCCGATGGGATTCGATTGTTCAACGCATTACATTCGAAACCTCCAACCCCAAAGCTCACCCTGTATTTCTCGATGGAAGACAATGGTTCGCTTTGGAGAGTCGCCTATCTGGAAAGTCTGACCAGCAGTGCCTTGATGAACAAACTACTGAACGCTTTGAACTTACCTCACGATCGACTGCATTCTGTACTCTTCCTTGGTCCCCAGGGTATTCACGTGTTGGTGACCGACGAACTGGTAGCGAATATGAAGGACGAGAGCATGTACTTCGTTGAAACCATCAAAGGTATGGCGAAACACTTTCGAAACTTCTGGAAGCCTTTTTATATCATTTTAACCTTGTGGACAATAATTTCTACTTTGTTGCAGATAACGCGACCGATCGCTACAAGCTACTCCTAAAGCCTTCGTCGCGTTCCTAAAAAGGTACATCCGCTGCTAAGTTAATTAGAAAATTGAGTAATTGCTTCCATAAGTACTAAATTGCCAAATATATCTGTGATTCGATAGCACGTTACTCCTTCAGCGTTACAACATATTGTTTTCAGAGCGGAGACATGAGATTATTATAGAGGTATAGCAACGACACGAGTGAGTTGTCTCATTATTTATTGCAATGTGATGGAAATTATGTAATGTTAGCCATTAATTATAAATATTGAATAAATAGAACAAGTATGCTTTTATGATCGAGATAACAAATGATTATGTATGGTACATTTGTGCACAATTTCTCGATAAGTTGCATTTTGTACAATTTTATACTTGCTATGATCGGAATGCGACAGTATTATCAAATGTTTGTCTTATAGAAAGACTTAGGTAAAGCGTATCGTTTCTTTGAGGAGCAAACTTTGCTAAAGCAAAGGAAAAAAGAAAGTAATATGAATGGAATACCAAAGGTTTCTGTTCTATGATAAATGAAAGGTACATTCATTAGGAAGAATATTAAGTGCCTTCTTTTTGGTTTCGTAAATAGCAAAATATTAGAAGTTATTTAATAAGTGCTTGACAATTAGGAATAATTATTTCGCCAAGGGAAGAAACATTTTATTCCATAGTACAAAACGAAAGAAAGATAAATGTTTCCTTGCACGTCTTCGAAGATCGTGAAAGATAGTATTATAATCTATTACCAAACTCTGAAGAATTTTAAGCTAGAAAAAGGTTCTCTCACGAAGAACCAGAATTGTTAATCTCAAAGTGTTAATAGTAATTCCGTATAATACAGTTACTAAAACTGTTCTGTATTTTACGTAAAATGAAGCGTATGGTTACGTTTGAATTGATGTAACTTCAAAATGCTCAATACGACTTTGTTTTTCTTTAATCGTGTATAACAATTAAATCATTGTATGTGCGATGCTATACACAAAGGAGCTGTTTAGTCTTATTATTTTAATCTAGATTTAATGTAAAACCGACCACGAAAGTAAATATTGGTCGAATTGCATGCTCTTCGATTTATAAGTACTCCAATAGAGAGAAATTCCACGAGTGTCATGTATCGTCAGTAAACGGCACAATAAATATTCAATGATGCCAAAATGTATAACCAGTATGTTTACAAGGAACACAAGAAAATAAACAGAGTCTAGCGTTTTACTCGGAAATATATTATTTCATTTAACAAAAAAATAGAATAAGTCGTAATAAAATGTAAAGATGACGCTTTTTAACGCAATAACACGATCACGAATTTACGACAGTCTTCGTGGTTACTTTTTCTTCTTCATCTGTTTGATCTTCTTCTTCTCCTCCCGTTTGATTTGCCTCTCGGACAGACACTTGAATAATTTGTAAACGAAGAACACTGCAATCACATAAAAACACACTTATCAATTTCTTAACAATAAAATAGTAGAAGATTGTAAACGATAAGGAAAACGACGTTTCCTATCCGAGACCGAAGAGAACGTACCAAGAATAAGGATAACAAATAGCAGAGCGAAAAAGAAAATGGTGTACGAGTTAGAGTACAAAAGCCTCTCGAACAGGCTCGCCTTGTACATATTATTATGCAACGTTTGCTTGAACCTGCCGACCAGTTGGTTCAATAATTCATGTTTTTCTTGTTCGTCCAGCTGTTGATATCGTTGAAAGAGACCCGATAGCTTTTCTCTGCTATTCTCCGGTATAAGATTCAACAGTTTCTCTTGCACATTCTCCGATAATAAACCGTTGTCCATTAACGGCTGCCAAATATTCTCTGCCATAGTTCAGAGTTCAAAAAACAGAATTCACAGAACTTTCCCTCGTTCGCGAGAAACCACGTTAGAAGGCTAATTTCGTTAAGAGAGTCAAATTAAAATTGATCAGATGATCGTTCGCGGCCGCGGTTAAGTGGTCGATTAGATAACAGGTAGCGAGATAAACTGAACTGTGATTATACCCGATGTCCAAACAGCAATTTGCAATTTCGTTTGTTATGCAACGTTGCTGATCAAATAAAAAATATTTCCTGAGTCAGCGTGAATTGTTTGGAAAACGAGGCAAGGGCAAAAGGAAGTGGTGGGGCACAGCTGACCCAGAATTTTTGCTTTTATATAACTGGCTCAGACTGGATCACGAATCGAAGCTTCAACAACCGAGGATATTTACCAAAGATTAGAGCAACTAAAGCCAGCAAAGAAAGAAGGACCATGGTCTGCATTGTCATGTCATTTCCTGTGGGAGACATCCCAGCCCCAGCCCCAGCCACATCTTGTATATTTTTCAGTAATTCCTCCTTGAGCGTGGCTTTTTCTTCGTCCGATATACCAGCCAACGAATCAAGCATTTCAAGAAGTTGTTCTGGTGAAGGAAGTTCCCCTTCCAAGTTCGGAATCCCTTGGGAAGCTTCTTCCGGTGCCACGCCGGCTGCTTTGTCCGCGTTTGCGGAAGCAACGAGCTGAAGGCCACTCGCAAACATCATCCCCCACATCCTAATTGGAAATATCGTCCGTGTTATACAGGGTGAAGTTTAATAAAAGCAGTGCAAAATTTTACGGGTATGCCCCTAAAGCCATTCAGTAATGAGACGTGGATATTAAAATTTGGCACAAATTTTGAAACACCCTGTAAGTTATTAAACTGTGGTCACTCCAAGTTTATACACTTCTCAATGATTAGATAGCGATATTGTTGCACCCAAGAACCCTCATTGATAATAAGATAACATGAACCACCATATGTTTCTTCGTTGGAATAACAATAGAATAAAGTAACCAACTAACGCGCCTGAAAACTCGCACCAAAGTGAGAAGTAATATTTTTTTGTCTCAACCTCAACCAAGTTTAACGCTTGCACACAATTAAAGATCGTTAGCGATTTACTCACACTGCTCGGATAACACCTCGGTGATGTACTTGGAACACCTGAAATTTTGGTTTCAACTAAAAACTATAGCGATCCTAAAACACTTTCGACCAGGGAAATTGATCATGCGTCTAAACTGATGATCTCACAAAACGATCGAAATCCACGAGAGTGTGTATAGACTGAAAACCAGATGATCGTTTACTGAAAAAAAGCACTCGTGTTTGGCGGGAAGATAAGCGACGAGCAGACACGTGGATGACGATTGGTTGATTCGAACGGTGTTGGTCATGCGTACGTCTCAGGCCAACGTGGCTACTTCCAACGTGTTAACTCTCGAGCCACGAATTCCGAGTTAACCTCGGTAGAACGATCTGACCCTTCCAACGTGTAGATTAAAACGCGTTAAGCAGGCGCATTACGCCTTGTACGTTCACGTCATTACACGTTATCGTGCAGTGTAGCTGAACTATATCGAAGATTAATTACCCCCGCTGCAATTATTTTTATCTTCGAGCATATGCATGGAAAATCGAATTATTTTCGCTTCAAACTGATGATATTTCATTCGGTTCAATGCTATTACAGCATTGAACATAAAAAACATTGAATATTTTTGAATGTTTTAATTAATGGATTTGGGTATTCTTCGTGCTGCAGCTCATCAATCTATAATTTAAATCACGTGCAACAACTCCAGGTGTTTGACCTATGGAACTAGGTTGAAACCTGTTGCCTCTGGCAAGTACCTGTCTGCGGTCGAGCAACGCCGGTTGACAACTTAAAGGGAGTTTAGATAGTGACATAGCAAATAAAGTGGTTAAAACATAGAAGAGAAAGCAGCAATATTTTCGAACTCGGATAGGAAACCATATGTTCTAGAAAAACTGTTATTGGTGTACAGGACAGTGTCAGATGCCGCGCTTTTCAGAAATGTATCCTTACCGGCGAGACCAACCACACAAACCGCTGGTATTACGAAGATGATATTGCTGAAGCCAGGTTCGATGGGACCCTCGAAGGCACCGTTAAGATCTGCCATTTCGATACACAGGAAATTGTTCACAAAATTCGTGGACCGTAATGTCCAGTACTTATCCTACTAGACAGGTGTCACGTTAACGCCATCTAGATATAATATCTGTCCAGCAACTACAGATACAAAAAGACTGGACATGCCTTTGTCCGTGAGAGGTCATGATTTTGGGGATCCTTGACACCCCCAGGTAGGGTTAGGTCTGCAGGTATGTACAGAGCACAGACGGTATGATAGTCGTGCCAGTTTTATCTGTCCTTCTTTTGGTGAACACCTTGCAGGGGAAGGCATGTAGATCTGTAATCACTGATAAATGAAAAAACAGAATTTTGAGCCCCTTTGATTCTACTTTGTAGAAATCATAAAATGAGCACAAGATCGAAGAATTATTAAAAATAATTGTTTCACAAATTTGTATTAAAATACAATAATTACTTTTCTATATGGTATATTAAAAGATAAATAATTATAAAAGTTATGGAAATAATAAATTTCAATAGATATAGTAGTAATTTAGTTAATAAATTATTAAAAAATCAAAAACTGCAATTAAATAGATTGTATAATAATAATAATAATAATAAACAAAATTATGTAAAATATCTACGCGTAAAAGTTATACAAATAATAAATTTCAGTTAAGAAATAATAATTTAATTGATAAATAATTGTAAAATTAAAAATTATAGTAAAATAATCACAGACTGAAGTCGATGGTAGCGAGGAAGGAGGTGATGCAGAACGTCATGCTTCTGGCACTGCTGTTGTCTATTGTCAACTGTTCGACCTCGAGCAAAAACTTATTGTTAGTCTTATCGCGACCATCCAGGGGTGTAAATTTACCTGTCAAAAGCTTCATACTCACTTGAGCCTTTTTGCACGCACGAACGATTTACGTGCGCGAATTCTCTGGTCAGTACGAAGCGTTTATGCGTGTGCGCTGGCTATAAACACATGCGAACGCGATCGGCGGTTGGCGGAAATATCGCATGCGCACATAAATGCTGAAATCAGTACGCGGCTAAACATATGCAGGTACGAGTCCACGTTCGTATTATTAAAGTAGGTGTTCATCTATGGATTACTTAAAATGATAGTGCATGTGCATAGTGTTTTTATTACGTGTTTGAACACACCTATGAGGATTTTTTAACGCGTCTTATGTTGTGGTTTCCCATGTGTCTATATTATGTGATTGAGCATGAGTATACGAATATATTAGTGTATTTTATGGAGTGATCATTTATGTGTTTTGGTATACTTTTGCAAATGCTTTATGATGTGGTTCCCTAAATGTTTTGACATTTATTTAAGGATTTATTAATGTGTTTTATAGTGTGGTTCCCTATGTTTTTAAACATAATTTTACAAATGTTTTATGTTGTAGTTACCTATGTGGTTTGACATAGTTTTGCAAATGTTTTATGATGTAGTTACCTATGTAGTTTGACATAGTTTTACTAATGTTTTATGGTATAGTTAGTTATATGTTTTCGCAAATGCTTGCAAATATAATACTCTATTTTATGGTGCGGTTATTATCGTGTTATTTTGCACGCGCTTTTTTTAATTTGCTCCTTTAATAAATTATAATTAAAATAACTATGAAATAATTTTTAACAAAAAATACAAGCGACTTCAAAATGCGCTAAAAGGTGTAAAATAACTTATGTATACTTCATTTCTACAACAAAATGCATTAGAAAGTATGAAATAATTTCTATTTCATTTATACAAATACCCAACAGTTATTAATCAAATCTATTTACTCGTTAAATAGTATACTAAATACATTTATTAAAAATTATTAAAAATTATTTTATTTTATACCTTTTAGTGCAACTCGAAGTCGGTTGTACTTTTTGTAAAAATTATTTTATTTCATACTTTTTATAGTGGAACAAGCAGAATTGGTAGGATATCGTAAGGTGGTTTTTCCGTTCTTATTGCTTAGATAATAACTATGAACAAAAAACAAAAAATATATTAATTGAATTAAATCGGATAATTAAATAAAAGAGAACAATCTGAATATTAGTTTTTTTATTTATTCGTTTATTTTAAATTAAAATGAAAATTTAAATATCGGCCGCCCCTGCCGCCTCTGCCGCCTCTCTTTCCGCCGCGCCGCCATAGCTCGCGGTGGAGGCGCCGCTGCCACCCTGCAGCCGTTCCTCTTTCTGTAATGTAAAATTTGAACAGTTACTTAGGTCGTGCATTTTAGAATTAATTTTGTATTATTTATGACGCAAATGGATTAATTATTTGTTTGATAGGATCTGTGATACCTACTGCGCTTTGGCTTCTCATTCTTATCAGCCTCCTCCTGCTGCTGTTGTTGTGGTTCCTGTTGTTGCGGTTGCTGTTGTTCGGGTTGCTGTTGTTGCTGTTTTTGCTGCTCTTGTTGTTGAAGCTGCTGTTGCAACTGCTGTAACTGCTGCAACCGCTGCTGCAGCTGCTGCTGCAATTGCAGCAGCACTTTCTTTATTTCCTGTTCTGAAAGAAAAAAGAGAAATATACATATATGTTACATGCATCGTTTTGAATCATGCAGTATATTCATTTTCCATTGAATTTGGAATTATACTTACGATTGTTCGTTGATTCTTTGTCCATCTTTTTCTGAAAAAAAAAGGTTTTATTAATTAATAAAAACTAAACCGTTCGCATTTGTGGATAAAGTTCTGAAAACCACTCACCTCCTATTTTTTTGAAACTCAGTATTCTTACGTTTATTATACGCTGATTATGAATATCGTCATGTTTCGTCTCGGTCTAATTTTGTCGAAACGATCCGATTGAGAAAAAGGATCAACTGGCTCGCGGGACTGGGAACAATTCGGGAAAAGATTTTTCTCGGTCTCGTGATAAACTTGAAACTTTATTGCTCCTCTCGCGGTCTTCGTCGTATAAGCCTGAGCTCACGGATTACAATGAATGTTTCGTCGACAACTCGACTCTCACACTATTCGCGTGATTGCGAAGCAAGCGTTGGAATTTATCATTTCTCAGGTCGAAGTATGAAAAACAGACCTGCGGGACGCGGGGCCGATCGCATAAAGACAATGCTATCGAACTTTGTTGACGAGCTACTAACGGTTACATCGAAGCTTCGAATATATGATATTGAACAAATATCATACTGAAATTTGGCGACTACTTGATTTTCATGGGAAAATAAAAATTATAGTTTTTTACGTTTATCTCAGTGAATACAATTGCTTCTCACAAGCGGAAGTGGTACTGCCACAAAATAGCAAATCCTAATATCCGGAAGTAATTGAATAAACGGATCTACATGTAATTTCTGGACACGTCGCCGCCACAAGAATTTGCAAGTAATAATGTTGTTTAAAGAATTAGCAAATAATAATGTTGTTTAAAGAATTTGTTATTATTTCGCGAAAGCGCTGCCGATCGCCTTACAATGGCCAAATAGTCGCCAATTTTTCACTATAATATTCGTAATCAGCGTATAAAAAAAACGTAAGAATACTGTGGTTTAAAAAAAAATCGAGGGTGAGTGGTTTTCAGAACTACACCCAAACAAACCACCAATCATCAAGGATTAAATTAATATACAGGGTGTCCCGTATCTAGTGGTACAAGCGAGTAGGGGGTGATTTTACGTGAAAAATTGAATCGAAAATGTGGAATAAAATTTTTTCATATGACGCTTTGTTTTCGAAAAAAATAAGTTTGAAAATTTGTCGAGTACGCGTGCACTTGGACCAGCTTCAGCTCGACGGATTTCATTGTAGATCACCTCCATTCTTGTTCATAAATATTGTCAGTAGATCGATGGACAGATTTCTCGTCTAATTTATGAACTGTTGGAAGTGACGTCCACGTTGTTGTAAACATGACTGTGTTCTCCTTATTAAATTGTATCGAACGTTTTCTAATGTGTCGTTGTGCAATTTTAATTGTTCAAACGCTATAATAATTTTTTGTTTTAATTGTTCAACGCTCGTCATGTCCGTCGAACTGAAGCTAAATCAAGTACACGCGTACTCGTTAAATTTTCAAACTTATTTTTTTCGAAAATAAAGCGTCATATGAAATAATTTTATTCTACATTTTCGATTCCATTTTTCACGTAGAATCACCCCCTACTCGCTCGTGCCACCAGTTACGGGACACCCTGTATATATAACATATATTAAAATGAAATATTGCTTGTTATGTGGTATTTACCGTTCGACAGCAGCTCGCTTCGATTCAAACTGAAGAAATATCTGTGACTTCTAAAGGAAGAGAATAAGAGAATTGGTGGGGCACATTCCATGATCGCACGCATTGTTTCTCTATTGCGTCGTATGGATCCACGAATATCGTGTAGTTCCTACATTGTTTGAAGTTTACCGACTGCTTCGAACGTAGAAAAGGACAGCGAATGAAAAAGAGGACGGAGCGAAAACAAAGCACTCTATGTCTCTAAAACAATACTAATGCAACGATGAAACTTTTCTATTTCTAATTTTTTTGCTGTGAAACTTTTATCAACAGATTTTTGATATTTTTCTGATTAAAATAAGACCAAACACGACGTAAATCGGACTAGTTTTGTTATTAATCAATTTAAATTGATCCAGTCAATCATTAATAGCCAATTAAAGTAAAATTACACCGATTTATGTCGTGTTTGGACTTATTTTAATCGGAAGAACCTCAGCAATCCATTGGTACTATCTTTTCCAAAGTACGACAAAAATTCGTCCAAATGTAATGTTCTTTACTGGATGCTGATTTGTTTTATTCGCGGCATTCCTTTGTAATCCATCTATCTCGCTTTCTCGCATAATACGTATTCTCTTTCCTTGTTTACGGATCCGAAGCTCCACTGGGCTCGAGAAAATTGGTAGTCACAATTTTATTAGCCGGCGTAGGGGAAAGAAGGGATGCTTTACGCTTCGGAATGAAAAAATGAAAAAATTTTTTTTACAGGCTTCAGCTTTGATTTAGTTCCTGAATCGTAGAGAACGCCACAAGATGACTGGTAAACATGAGGTTCGAAGCAATCTACTATTACCATCAACGCACTTTACCCTGTAGTATAGCAGACGGCGCTCGTTCTCGAGACACAAATTGGAAAGCATGTCTAGCCTTTATAGATCTACAGTCATTGATCTGAAATTGTTTTAGGGTTATGGAGTCCACGGATTAACAGTACATATTTTGGTTCACTGTTTGCGAACCAAATATGTTACATATGATATTATGCCATGTCACTTGATTTCTAAACTACTGGACGTAGTTTATGTCGCAGGTGATTTTAACCACCTTATAATTCGTATTGATTTTTAAATACGGCGTCGGCGCAGGAATTTATATATATTTATTATATTTATAATTATTCTAATCTGCTAAAATTATTGAAAAATTCATTAGATATATCATAGAAAATTTGTTTGTTAAAAATTTTTCATAAAATCGTTGTGAGTTTTACAAGTCAACAATGTACTATTAACAGGTATCAAAACGATCCATTACATATCAAGCAGATCAAATTTAAACTATAAGATGTGTAAGGATGTTAATCCTACAGAAATTGCAACTTTTGAACTTCGCGGACAGTAGTATGTTACATATGAACAATTAAAAGAACTATTTATAAGGTCCTTTTAGTTTGAAAAACATATTGAAATAATTAAAAACTATTATAGAAATAATATTTAAGTTAATAAGATTTCATTTTTTTAAACAAGATAAAAATAACAAGTCCAACTATTAGAGTAGTACTTCAGTTAGGCCTTGCAAAAACGCGGTAAAACCTTGTACAAAAGGGATCCTTTACCGGTCATTTCTATTGTGTCTTTCATATCGACGAGAAACATTTTGTGAGCGCATCATGACTATGGTGAATAAAGCAGCAGTGCTGAAATTTGCAAAAATAACAGACAAAGCTTATGCACCTATGAAAGGATCAAAATATGCTGCTGGATTCGATTTAAGAAGGTACACAAACACGTTCAATTTTTTTGTCTAAATAAATATTTAACGTAATGATTCGGCTTCTCATTTGTTTCATGTTATCTGAGGAGTAGTCAGTATTAGTAGCATTTAAGAGTATTATGTGTATACCTTTTCAACAGTGCATACGAATATGTCGTCCCAGCACGTGGTAAAGAGTTAATTAAGACTGACTTGCAAGTCGAAGTTCCTGATGGCACGTACGGAAGAGTCGCACCTCGTTCAGGACTAGCATGGAAGAATTACATTGATGTAGGTGCCGGCGTTATCGATGCTGATTATCGGTAAGTTGTTCAAAATTGATTGATGCAGTGATTGATTAAATATCGTATATGTATATGAGTATGTGTATATGCTCAATTCTCTAAAGTTAAAAAGTTAAGAGCGTGTTTCCAGAAAGTTTGGATGCATGTGAATGTGTGGTCGTAATATATCCACGTCAAAGATATTGAAATCTTATTCTTTGTTTTTAACACAGGGGAAATGTAGGGGTAATACTATTTAATCATAGTAACGAAGACTTTAAAGTCTTGCCAGGAGATCGTATAGCACAGTTAATTTGTGAAAAAATCACATATCCTGAACTTCAGGAAGTTCCTACTTTAGATAACACAGATAGAGGAGAAGGAGGGTTCGGTTCCACAGGAAAAAATTGAAATAAAATACAAAGTGTTTTTTAGATTTATTTAGTTATATGTCCACTATATTTTTATATTTTTGTATCTTCACCTACAGGGTATTATTATTCTAATAAAAGAATAACAAAATGATGATGATTGATCATTCAGTGATAATAGCCATTATATACTTTGTATAAAAATATTCTTTTCTAATGATTTGGATGCTTACATCTGGCACAATACAGTTGTTATCTATTGCAATTTACATTTTTGCAGTAGGAACAAGGCCTGTGTATTGTGTTGGTGTTTTCACCAAGCTTTGTACATTTTTAAACTCTTTGTGTTTTGCATCTCCTAAGAGTTTAAAAATAACGTTTTCTGAAGTAGTTATGTGACATCCCATCTCTCTCATCCTCTATCAAAATAACATAAGTTAAGTTACAGTATCCAGTTTCTCATACCTGCTACTATTTCATATTTTACTATCATTACCTCTAATGCCAGTATTCTGTCTTCTTGAGTACGAGAGGTACAGCAATCTGCAACAGTATGTACTTCATACCCGCTTTGCCTTAAGTCAATTGCTGTATTCTCTATGCATACATGGGCTTCAATGCCAATAAGGATGATCGAATCTGGTTTCTGACCAGAACAAATTGTAGACAGTTCTTTGTTTATCTAAGGTAAATAAAAAATGTTATTAAAGAACAGGCTCAAAATGATATGTGTTTCTGTGGAGGAAGAAACTCCATAGTGTCCATACTTCAGGTGTACACATGCTAAATTGAGTCTTTTCAAATGGTCCCTTGGCACCAGAGATATCAAAATTTGGAATTGTTTTTCCTAAAGCCTTTGGATTTTGCTCAGAGACAATCATGGGTACATCCAAAAGTTTTAGTGAGTTTATCTGCAAAAATGAACATATAGTTAACCAATGTAATAGTACCTTGATTACATAACCTCATATTTCTACAAGCGTTACAAAATGGAAGTAAAGATTTATATGCCATTAACTTGTATAAATCCTACATCAATATTTACCAATTTCGCCGAATTCTGTGTGATTTTATCAAATTCATACATCGCCTTGGCGAATCTTTCTTGTACATCACATATCATCAGAACACTTTTACCCTGCTTTAGAACTGCTCTGGCAGCGTTAATTGCCATTATTTGTCGCGATAATGTGTGCAAATTAACGTGGAATATTAACAACGATATTGAATCGTTACAGAAGAAGAGCAGTCCGGCAGAAACGAATTTCTATGGATCTCTGCGTGTTAATGTGCGTCCACGTTTATGACGCACGTGATATTATTCTGCGATATTCAAAGTTCATGGTCAATCTTAGCATTACTAACTTTAGACGGGTTGCACTTGATCGATTGCAAATGAACCCTCTCGATGCGCAAGCGACACAATTAAGTGTGTAAAAGGACACTAATAAGCAACATGGTGAAATATCTTAGATCTATACCGCTGCATTTGCGATACCATTAAGTTCCTCGAGATGCCTTCTACGATCGCAAAAGTTCTTCCAATTCTACAGGTGCGTGTATTTCCCAACCGTTAAAACGTTTTATGACAGTGGTAGAAAGAGCTATCATCTGTTGCGTATATACATACATACGTCATAAAGGTATGGAATTGAAAAGAGTACGGGCAACAATACGTCTATAACTGTATTCTATTGGAGGCATAACTGAATGGCTCGTATAAAGTGGTTGCTTGAAACGAGCATGCACCGACAGGATCAATTTGTATAATATATTTTCTAACGTATCGTGGTGCGTAAAGTTTAGTGATTTAAATCGACTGGTTTGGCGCGTGCGTATTGCTGCAGCGACCCAGGTGCGAGTGGAACATAGGAAGGCCAGATAGAACAGCAGCGACGAGCTGACGAGCGGTAGTCAAACAATGCTGTTCCGAGTAGTCGGATGCATAGGGTCGTTTTGAGTTTGTCAAGCTGATCAGGCTGATACTCGACCGAGTCGTTATGACGTACGCGTACGGTTCGGTACAGAAATTGTGCACGTTCTAACGTTTCAGGCCCGTGTTGCATCCGATTCTGCAGATCCTGTACATTCAGCGAGTTTGTAAACAAAGAATGGCCGGAGAGCCTCGTGAGACCGGGCACACGAAGCCGCTGGTGCAGCTTTTTCCTAAAGCATCAGAGTGCGTGTACACGAGTTGTTATTGGTAAGTTGTACAGCGTGATTCGCACGATGTCGTTCGAACGAGAAAAACGATCGACTTTCAACGAATAAACGTGTCGTATTGCGGTATATACCCGCGATGGATCGATACGTTGCAGTGGTACAGAGACGGCAGTGCGATATGCTGCCGCCATCTTTGAAACGAATGAAATAACCACGAATCACGGTGCACCGTCTGCTCGACTTTAAAAAGTCCCGCGCATATCGTGGCCTGTTTATTGGTAGAATCACGATTTTGCCTTTGTTATCCTTCGCTCAGCGGGAATATACGAGCACACGCTCATTTTATTAATTAATAATGCATGTATGTTGCTGATAGTTTGCACGATATCATCGTCGACAACATGCATTCTCCCCGCTTTGTTTCTATTTTTTCTTTCTAATAACCAACACGCACCGCACCAACCAGTCGTATATTAATCACCTTTGCGTATCCAACAACCTCATTTCCATCGACTATCTTACGCAACTTAAACCACCACTACCTTCCTATCTATTAGCACAACGTTTCATAAACGTTTTCGCTCTTCTCTTGATTTTTTCCCGAAAAAGCTATAATATAGATAAAGGCTATAATATATCCGACGCGTCCGGGAAGACTCATCGGATCGTGACCAAACTTGGTACGGTGATAGACCTTGACCTCCACAGTAACCACCTTGAATATTATTCGGTGCACGCTTATGGTTTCCGAGATACGAGGTTCGAAATTTGGGTTTTCATGGGACATCTAAACTCATCCGATCGTGACCAAACTTGCTACTCTTCGGAGAGATCACTGTGAACTTTTGAATCAAGAGAAGAGCGTTTTTTTCCTATCGGAAATGTAACTGATTAGCTAGACACCAGCGAGACACCGTTTTTTATTTTGCTTTCTGTTCGCGACATTACACTGCACCGTATTGTGTATCTGCATCGGACTGAACGGGTGTTTGACGTATCATCGAACTTAAAAGTACATCTGCAAGAACGTACTGTATCATTCTAGCGAAGAAAATGTGTGGAAGCTCTGTCAGGATGTAGCCACGAGACACGGATCGGAATTACAACATTGTTACGTTGCCTTCGTGAGCAACGCCTGGCGTAGCGTACCGCTTTGGCGACAACGGGCAGGAAAGGATGAGGATAAGCTCGTAGTTTGGGTTAGTCAAAACAAACAGCAAACGGACAATAGAGCTCGCGATATTTCTCGCTTATTAAGCCTGTACATAGTCGCTTTTAATCACGGTACTATATGGATACCAACGTGTCTGTTTGTATCCATAGGACTTCCATGTAATCCTTATCTACGCACCCGACGAAAGGGCGGTCGTATACGATTTAGATAGCGTGTTGCCGTTTCCCACGCATTTTTGGAAATACGCGATGGAAACGTTCAGATCGGACGAAGTTGTACCCCCGAAGCATCACAGAAGATTCCGAATGGTCCCGGCCAGTGTGTACTTGAAAGAGTTCGCGTCTGATCGGCATCACATGAAACGCGAGGATGGCACATGGATCAAGACACCGCCGGATTATCCACCGATCTCAACACCAAGTATGTTCATCGAAACTAGATTAAAGGATATGAAGTTTCTTGGCAACAGTGTTTAAAATGAAACATTTTTGTTTTCTCTTTTGTTTTTTTTTTTTTTCTTTTGCAAACATTCCAGCGTGCAAGGATAACTTGGATTCGTTTATTAACATGGATCCAGGAACCGGGTTCGGGGTTGTATTGACTTTAGAGCAATTATTCGACCGATTTCATAGGCCAAACGCGAACGCATCTGCTACTCGTACACCTCAGCCTCAAGCAACGCCGACTTAAGTAAACTGCTAAGTAAGTTCCGCAGGGTAACGACCGTTTCCTTCGATTTCCAATGACAACATACCCATCGCATCGTATGGCCTAAGGGAATTGGTTAGGTGCATGTACCTTTGCCAGCTGATACGTGTATATCGGGTCGAGAAAAAAATTTTAACGATAACATTTGCCTGATCGTTGTTGCTAATCGTTCGAAATCACAACCGTGTGTTTCTACGGGCAAATCAATCGATTGTTTTTGCCAGACATTCCAGAATTTACACAAATTTTGTCTTTCGCCTCTAACTTTTGTCCGTTCAAAGTATAAGTTGGTTGAAACGTTTCAAAGCGAGAAGAGAAATTGATTTGGCTTGAATCGGGTTTGTGCTACTTCTTTTCTTTCCTTTATAATAATTCTCGATAACTCTATAACGCCTGTTATTGTATTTCTAGACGCTATATCTATTGATACGTTTGTTTCCTTCCATTTTAAAAGGCTTTTTTTGCAGAGCCTTCCGGAGACAAGCCTGGTCTCTGTCGTGTGCTACACGTGTTACGATCGACCATATGTATATTCCAAGTTTTCAGTCGTGATTTTATATATACAAATACATATATATATATATAAGTGTTCTCTTGTCTTCGTACCATACGTTTACCATAACGCGTGAATCTTTGTCACGGCTTCGCTCTATCGATGGTATTTATCGTTACGATTAATTGTGTCAAAGACTGATGTATCTACGGACAATTTCCAAGCTCGACGTGAAAGAAAGAAAAAAAAAAATACAATTTTGTTTTCCGAACAATATTGAATCTAATTAGCTCGCGTTCTTGGCACAGACGCGACTAATGCGCTTATTATGATTATTATTATTAATTATTATTCTTATTATTGTGCAATTTGATATATACATAATAGTAAGGGCAAGAACTTAATCTTTGCGAGATAAACGTAAATGATTACGATTATTGTAATTCTTGTGATACTTTACACTTTCTACTTTGAATACCTACGCTATACTTGTCTACTGTTTGTACTAAAAAGAAGAAATGAAAAACAAGAAGAAACAACTGATTCTTAATGCGATCGTGCGTTCGCTTGTTGATTATTTAAATCCAGATTCGATTAGGGGTTAAACACTCCACACGACCAATTTGTCAACATCGAAACGAATTTTGACAACGAACGCTCGATATCTCTGAAACTTGATATATTTAACCCTTTCGCTGGGAGAGATTAAAAAAGTTTGCCAGCCTTATAGTTATCAGGAACAGTTGGATGTCTGTGGATGCAACAGCAATGAAAGGGTTAAGAAACTTTTCGGCACTCTGTAACGCTATCATCAAATTATCTTTCTCTTTGAGAGACGCAGATTGAATAACTCTACAAATAGCATCAGATCGACGGTAGATTTATTAGCGAATTTCCATTGTCTCGCTTCGAAATGATAATCAACGAGCGAACGCAATCGAACTATCGGTTCCTCGGACTCCCGAATAGAGTCGCTTGAGGAAAGGAAGAGGAACCGACAGCCAGGGTCGATAGTTTAAGAATTCGTCCACTCTTTGCCTTCCAGAATCTTTCACTAGATCTCTCTTTGTCTTTATCATCGACATGTGTTTTTTCTCCGATTCACCTATATCATATATTTACTATATTTGCATACGTACTTGTAAGCCAACCGTGTCTGCGACTCGGAGACAGCCGATCGGGGGTGATCGGTGACACGGCACAAGTCTCGTTGCTTTTACACGAACATCGTACGTGGAAAAATCCGGGACCGATTTTTTTAGCCTGTAATACCTTCGATTACCAGAGAATAGAAAAAAAAAGAAGAAGAAAATGGAAAAGTTGAAAAAAAGACCTAATCTCTTTATCGTTCAAACTATTACTAAATATATTATATCAGATGAAATTATTATATTATCGAGAGGATGATGATGGTTATTATATATATATTGTATACATACATATATTTATCAATATTCTCATATTTATTATATTGATATATTGATATATATATATTTAATTATATTGTATCAATTTCGATACGCCGATAAGAGGAGGTTTGGTCAGAAACGTTTGCGTTCGAACGACACGTTCTCTTATCGTTTTCATTCTGCGATATATCATATTGTACGATTTGAACGGTTCACACGAATCTTTTATCACGGTACTCGCATGTTCACGAAGAGAATTGAGAAGAGAAAAGAAAAACGAGGAACGACGAGATACCTCTTCGTCTTTCGAGTCTACGATAAGTTACAAACGAACGGAACAATCCGTTCGTCTCAGCTTGAAATTTTATCAATGTACTTTTTCAAATCTTTATAAACCGCGACTATTTACGCTCCATGGTCCTGTCTCCTCTTCCTTGGTCGGGTGCCATGTCTCAAAACGAAGAACGAATGCTTCCAAATGGTAATCGAAGTTCAATTATCAGTGAAACGATTTCACTGGCTTTGTTTTTTATTTTTATTATTTTTTTTTTAATATTCTTTCTCGACGATCCTTTCGTTTATTGGCGAACCATTTTTGTCCTTCGATAAAATGTCCCTTTTCATATTTTCAGCGCCATCGATTTTTTCTACTCTCTGTTCGACGTGTTTCACTTTAACGAAGATAACTTGATGTTTGTTGATAACGATACAAGGGTTTTCAAGTTTTTGCTCATTATGCGCACAGTATTTTCCGGCGTACGTTCGATGATCCGGTTAGAACACTGTTGAGATATTGTACCTTTAGGGCATCGGAGAATTTTCAAGGAGAAAGCGACGACGCGCATGGATTTTCAAATGTATATTGTATTCAATTTGCAAAAATATATAATGTATAATTACAGAAGAGTTACATAAATGAATTATGGTATTCGACACCCCAGAACGTAACTCACACACTCATCAACGAGTATTATTCTTATTCTTACTCTTATTTTATATTGCTTTTTGATCCTTGTACACGCTTTGTTTCCAAAGAGAACTACGGATCCTTGGTTATTAATACGTATCTTTCTTAGATTGCGTAATGATATTACATGCGTTATCGTTTATCGGTTTAGTGATAAGTATCTGAAAAATGGTGGTCCCAAGATAATTCACAAGCTGCAAAGTAACAAATTTTCACGTATACTTATCACTAAACTATAAAATATAAATAATTATCGACGATAATAGGCTAAATTAAAGTAATTAAAAGTAGCAATTGCTTCAATACTAGTCGTTCAGTATGCACCCTTCGTTTCACTAGGTTCGTATAAAACAGCCTTGGTATGATTTTTCTTTTTGCAAGATGTTATATCGAGGGTAACGTTAGGGTAATAAATATTCATATAGTATAACAAATAAGTAACTAGAATTAGCAATGCTGATACCTTACGTCGACTTGAATATCTATAAACAGGTAAAATAACATCTTTGTAAAACATACATACATAGGTGCATTAATTTCATTTGTTTTCTTTCTTGTTAATACCACGTGTCCATAATCTAAGTTTACAGTTCGTTTTCAATTATTTGGACAATTGACAGAATTCACAGCTTCGATTCGAATTTATTCCCTCCTCGACTTTTCTCTTAATAATTCTGTCCTTTTAAATAGTACAGCTAGGTTTTTTTTTCACGTGTCTCACGTTCGATAGTACGGCCTGTAAGTGGACATCGGGATATTGTTTTTCGATAAATGGTGCACATCACCTTGGTCGTACTCCACGTCATTGTAAATTCCGCTTTGATTCTGAAATAGAAGTACCATTGAGCACGAAACCGCGCTGAAATGGATGGTAACGTTTATAAAATTGAATAACCGATGCTTACGGCTAGAGATGATCTAGATCGTGGCCTGGGAACATGAAAACCGCTGTGTTGGGGGATCAGATCGGCCCTGTCCTTGTCCTGTGGCTCGGAATCCGAGCTATCGGGATCGGGTTGGTGTCTTTGTCGCGGTCTTGGCGGAGCTTGGAGTCTTGGCAGAGGTACTGGTGGTAACGTTCCATGGACGTTCAGTGGTGGATATCCGAACACGGCAGAACTTGGCCGCGTTGGTCCCATGGGTTCCGTCTAAAATTAAAAAAAAAAGAATAATAAATATATACCTTCAGTTTTAACCCTTTGAGTGATGAATACTCCCAGCGGAAGCAGTTCGCGCGGACGGCACGCACATAGCGGTTGCAATCGTTGGGGAGGGAATACTCTTTTTGCTACTATGTTGATTGAATACGCAGGGTGCAACTAAGTTATAATTGTAATTCCTATACGCCATAGTCCACACAAATAGCTTTCGTTGAATGCATATATGCATCCATAGCACTCGAAGGATTAAAGTACCCCCGAATTGGAAAAACATAAATTCAACCCTCGTCCTTCGAAATACAACCCTATAACTTACGGCGTATACGTTAGCAGTTGCCATATGGTCGCCAAAATGTGCCCACATGTACGGCGGCAAGTTGGTCGGTGGTCCTTGTTTCACGGAAGCGAGGGTGCCCACAGAACCAACCCTCGCCAGAGTTCCTGGAAGCGTCCCAGGGATGCCACCCTGGATGTAACCGTACACCGGTGAGCCGACCGATTTTTGTTCGCGAGACCATCGTCGACTGTGACACACATAGAAAACAACATTTTGTTACTTTGCTACACAAAAGAAAATCTTCTAAAAAATTTTATCCAAAGTATTACCTCCACATGACCAGGCATACTAATGTCAGGACTATAATGATTAAAGCTGCTACGGACGCCCCTATCGCTACGCCCAGGACCTCTCCATCGACTTCGCATTGAGCACCATAATAATTACCAGTGCACCTATAGAATAAATAATTGTAAGCAGACAAAACTTGTTTGTTCTTACTGAAAAGTTTAATTTACTTACGAGCACTGCATATGATCGCCTTGGTAAGAACAAGAGCCTCGATTGTTGCAATAGGTCGAAGGACAGGAGATACAAGTCCTACCAGATTCGTTAGGATCATCCTTGTGAGGATCCTTTAATCCTGGATTGCAAGTGCAAGTAAATCCACCCCAATTGTTGATGCAAATTGCCGAAGAATGGCAGTCGTTCAGTTCTGACGAAGCACACTCGTCCAAGTCTGCAAAAAGTAATATAAATCGTTATTTTATTGTAAAATAGTGAACGTATGACTCGTGCAGTCTTTTATGCTGACCTTGTAAATTCGATATAGATCCAGCAGGACTATCAACGTATAGAGCGCTGTTCCCTATATTATTGCTCCTTCTATGAATAACCCCGAGCAGATGTCTCTGCAACTCCCCTGCTAAACTTGGTCTTATTGTTCTCGGTTCATATGTGAGCTTCAGGGTTGCGTTTACAAAGACACCCCCTTGGCCTTGGCTTATATCCCCTTGATACACACCGTTGATCAAGGACCCCATGTATTCGTCCGAAAACGGTGTCATCGACATGGCGGATTCGATCTGGGACATTTCAAACATTTATTTCAAATATTCTATAAAATTTTTTGATTGCAAATCGTAGCGTTAATTTCACTCACAGCTCGATTAGCTTCGTAAGCCAAAGTTTGATAGGGTTCGGAATCTTTGTCTGTGAATCCTCGATCCCACACGACTTTCCTGTCGTAGATTTTGTCCACCCTCATCGACACCACGATACTGATGATTTCTAACAACAGAAATCATCTGTTTAACACGTTGACTGCCAGGCAAACGCTATTGAAAATTTCATTAGATAACATTTATATATTTTAAAAATTTTATTTATTATTTTCCGAATATTTTGTTATTTCAAATACCTAGCAAAAATATTTCTAATTAGATAAGTAACCAAATATAATATTTATATTTTTTAAAAATTTTATTTATTAGTTTCCGAATATTTTGTTATTTCAAATACCTAGCAAAAATATTTCTAATTAGATAAGTACCAAATATAACATTTATATTTTAAAAAAATTTTATTTATTATTTTCCGAATATTTTGTTATTTCAAATACCTAGCAAAAATATTTCTAATTAGATAAGTAACCAAATCCCTAATAATATAGGTAATGGCTTTCTTTGGCGATTCAAGCGTCACCCAAATATGGGTGAAACGGCATTCAACGTGTTAATCTAGGTTCTCTCGATTTGGCTCTCGAACAAGTTTGTACGAACTTTTACACGGCAAGGAGTGCTGTAGCCTCGCGTATCCTGGTTTACAGTGACAAGCAGACACCCCTTGAACGGTGGCACACGCCTCGTGTTGACTGATGTCGCAAGTACTCGTGTCACCCACGATGCAGGTGTCTATCCTGACCGGTGGTTGGGTGGGCCTCCTGTGGAACGTTGGCCTTCGAATCGGTCCGCTGGGCCTCGGAGTCACCGTAGGTGGGTCCGGTTGCGGCACAGCAAATCTGTAGAAAGAAAATGTCATCCCTCGCATAGCATCGTTAACGAAAGGGTTAAGGGTACGAACCCAGTGCCGACGACAGCGGGCGATTGGGTTCTGGTCGGCTGAGGCTGCGGTTGCACGTGCGTCGATGTTCGATCTGTGTTCTCGAATAGGTTCAAGTACGTTCTTTTCCCGTCGATGCTGACAAATCCTTGACCCTCGACCGCCGACGTGAGAATCACGTCCGCGTTTCCCGCGTTTACCGGCACCCTTACACCTTCCCCTAATAAAACAAAGAAAAGTACCCCAGGATTTTCATACTAATTCACAAGGTGGTCAACAATGAACAAGTTCGTATACGTGGTACAAAGGGAAAGGATTAAACGCATGAATGTATACCAGAACTTGCGCCACCTGGTCCTTGAATAGCCGAGACCGTGACATCAAAAATATCACCGAGAGGTGGATGTCTCGGTGGTGCGTAAGGTCGTTGAGTAGCCAATCCTTGGCTGCCCGTGTAATCCAAGGTGTCGTCAAGGACTATCCCAGGTCGGGGTCGGTAAGCATAGCGATCCGTAGCAGCTACAAAGGAAATTAATTGAGCATGATAAGCCGTGCAAAGGGAATTAATTAACCCTTTACCGACCGCTAGCTTATTTCCCTTTGGCTGTAATTTTATTTCCCTTTTTATATCTATACACAGCCTACCCCTACGATTGTATTTGAAAAGTTCTTTGTTTTATTGAATAAAAAAAAAATACGTGTATTCTATTACCTGAATTCTTTGTGAACGTATTGGAAGCAGGAGTATGGATTATACTTTTGTCCGCTATTGACGAGCCTTTCGTGAATGTCGATGGTAAACTGTCCGTCGGTGTTGGTACACTCGATGTGGTAATGGTACTTTCAAAATCGGACGATTTGCTCGGTTCTAAAGCCACTATACTAGGCGCAATTGGCGTATAACTTGCACTATTATTCACGGGGATTGTGGTCGATTGAACGACCGTTTTTGTGGTCGTAGGCTCGATTACATGGACCGACGAGCTGGTCTCGATATTCAGCGTGGACGTGGAATAGGATTTTATCGGGGTCTTGGACACGCTCGGCTTGTCGATAGATTTTTCGTTGTTCACGCTGGAATTGGGTTTCTGTGTGTCGTTGATTTTCGTGGACTTCGTTGGTTTCACCGAACCTTCCAACGGTATCACAGGTTTTGCCGAATCTTCCTGTTTCATGTTATTTATCTTATTAACGTTGTTGGATTCCGTTGGAGGGGTCGATGCGTTATGATTATTCACTTTGTTCTCTTTAGACGGAGACTGATGTTTGTTATCCTTCTTCATGGAATTTCCAGATTCAGGATTTTTCGTAATACTCTCTGTAGCTGGTTTCACCGTGGTCTTCGAATCGTACCTGACCTTTTGATTGTCACCCTCCTGGTGATACTTGGTCGTGTTCTCCAAAGCGTTCGTGGTAGTTTCGCTTTGATCTTCTTTTTTCGTCGAGGATTCCTCTGTCGACGTTGCGTCAGGTTTCGTGTTTTTGTCCTCCTGTTCTTTCTCCCGATTGAAAGCGGACTCCGAGGACGGTGGCAGCGGTTTGTACGGAGGAATTGGTCGCCTGTTCGAACCAGGACGATTCCAAGTCCATGGACGATTTCCTTGCGGAACGATTTGTTCTGGCAGTGGAACGCCGTTCACGAAGGGTCTGATTGGCCTCTCGGGGGGTAGTTGGTTCACCAGGGGTCTGTCCGGGGCTGGTGGTTTTTCGAAGGGATAAGGATGATCCGGCGGAGGGGGAGGATTCATTCCAGGTGTATCGAAATCAGGTGGTAATGGAGGGACGTCGGATATTCTCGGCGGACCTCTGTTGTTAATCCTGAAACAGATAATTACGTGTTTGTTAATGAATCATAGTTATGTGGGGTGCGTCGGTTAGAGCCTAATACCCGCGGCAAAGAGTAGGTATAATAAGAGGCGACACTCTGAGAGAGAAACCACTTGTAGAGGGAGACAAAGTGATACAACCCATTTAAAGGTCCATTCGGCAATCTTCGTTTTCGGCCGTGAACAGTCGTGAATGCCCGGCCAGTTTGTACTGTGGATTTACGGAGATACCCTATTTTGCGGAAACTTCTTTGTCAGAATGCTCCAAAAAGCAAGAGTTTATGGCATAAACCAGGAATTCTATTTTACTTCGCACCCATGTAGGTAAAAATATGTATCATTTATGGTTTTATTCATCGTTGTAACAATTTTCCTATTCAATATTTATTAAAGTTATTTATTAGATTAAAAATTTATTATACACTTAAATATAGTAATAGGGATTTTAAAACTTGCGTTAAAAAGATAGAAGACTTCAAATATATTATCCGAAACCTTCCCTCATCCTGTTGTATTATATAATTGTGTAATTTATGTTCAAATATATTTTCTAATATTATAATTTTATTATATTTCTTACTTTCCCACAGTAGTGATACTAGGCCGGTTCTAATTCACTTGTGTCAGCATTTTTTTTGCTGACTCAGCAGAAATTTGACACCCTCAGCAGAAATATGATACCACCCACCCCCACCCCCACCCCATCTTGAACTGAAATTTGACACCTTCAATTATGTAAAATTAATGTAAATACTTCGATTAATAGTATACAGAAAAATTGATAATGCAAAAAGGTTTCTAGTTATAAAAGATTGTTATGAAAAGACAGTATTACATCCAATTCATTCAAACTTCCCGCTCGTTGATACAACCCATTTAAAGGGACAGCGAATCGTCGACATCAAAGGTGCCGCCCGGAGTGTCGCCTCTTGTTATATCTCCTCTTTGTCTGCGGTATACGTGGACGATTTTATGACCGAGCCACTCAGGACATAGATGGTTCGCAGGCGGCTGGTGACGGTTTGTAGAACTGTACCAGGCGTTGCCGTAGTTAGGTTTTAAATTTATAGTTTAGGCATTGAGGTGTGAATGAGAGAGGGAATATGGAAATGAGTGACTGGTAGGTGAAGTTGTTAACCTACTCAGGTTAACTTTTTCGTCCTAATATCAACATTCCTTACGCCGGCAATGAGTTAAGTGTTGGGTTAGGTGCCCGGAAACGATGATTGGCAAACCCAATAGGTCGACAATTTATCCAAACCCGGCCCGCTTGGAGGGTGGTGGCTGCTGGGGGATAGATTTATTTTTTGGTGCAATAAGCGCCATTGAACACCGTCGCTATAAGCAAAAGTTTGGGAACGGTAGAGCGGGTTATGAACCCCACTAGGGTCACTTCGACAATAACCTGGTGACAAGGGTGCTCATGGAGGAAAAAGCGGGCAGAGTGATTTTGAGAGTCAAGAAGGGCGGAACAGAGTGGTCTGGCGTAGAACGGTGTAGATTTGTGTAGAACAGAACAGCGAGGAATAGCGAGTGGATATTTTTAGAACATTTAGACTAGTTTAGTTTCTTAGGCCATAAGCGGGCAGAGTGATTTTGAGAGTCAAGAAGGGCGGAACAGAGTGGTCTGGCGTAGAACGGTGTAGATTTGTGTAGAACAGAACAGCGAGGAATAGCGAGTGGATATTTTTAGAACATTTAGACTAGTTTAGTTTCTTAGGCCATTAAAAATACATTTACACGTCAGCTTGTTTTTGCAAAACCTTCCAAACCCGGCCCGCTTAGAGGGTGGTGGCTGCTGGGGGTAGATTTATTTTTTGGTGCAATAAGCGCCATTGAACACCGCCGCTATAAGCAAAAGTTTGGGAACGGCAGAGCGGGTTATGAACCCCACTAGGGTCACTTCGACAATAACCTGGTGACAAGGGTGCTCATGGAGGAAGAAGCGGGCAGAGTGATTTTGAGAGTCAAGAAGGGCGGAACAGAGTGGTCTGGCGTAGAACGGTGTAGATTTGTGTAGAACAGAATAGCGAGTGGATATTTTTAGAACAATTTAGACTAGTTTAGTTTTTAAGGCCATTAGCTTGTTTTTGCAAAACCTTCCAATCCCACAGTTGCTTAGAAAGGTAATAATCAACCTGATTACCTGGTGGCTTGAATCGGCCTCAAGGGTCTGACCGTGTTGGCAGCGACATTCACGTTTCCGTTCAACAATTTCACGATACCCGTGATGATGTCCTGTATATCAGGATTCGCCTGTCGGTTTCCTGGAGAAGCGGTCTGCAGGATAGGCGGTGGAGCGTGTTCGCTATAGATCCTGGGGATCTCTTGGCGTGCCCGTCTTTGTTGATCTATTGCTTGCAAGTAGTGTGCCTGTTGGTTTGACACTCCAGCTAGTTGGTGGGGCTCCGACAAGAGTTTTGGTCCCTGCGGAGCCCCTTGTCCTTCCCCCGACATGGATTCGCTCGTTGTGGGTGTTATACTATTGAAAAAAAGAGAAGAATTATAGCGGATATAAATCGTAGATCGACAAAATTGTTTTGAAAGACTTACTGATAATATTCCCCCGGTTTCACTTCGATGTTGTTCCCGTCTATATGATCGACGTGTTTCGACGACGTTAGCTCGTCGATAGATTCCTCGTGCCTGGTATTCCTGTCTTCGAACCTGATCTCTTCTTTGTCATAGTTATTGACGCTTTTCGAGCTTTCCAGTTGAAATGCTGGAACGGTTCTTTGGAAAGTTGGCGATGCATCGCGATGAAACACGCTGGACGTTCTCTCAGGCCCTGTATACGAGCTGAGGATGATGTCTTCTTTAGAGGACCGGGAAGACGTTCGATCATTTTGGATAGCCGAAACACCTGTACAAAATTGAATCGATTACACGTCACGAAAGATATGCCAGAAGTGATTCTGCATTTTCGAAAACAATGAATCGTGGATTCTTTGTAAAAGTAATTCCACGTTTCCTCGAACGTTCGATCGATCGGGCATTTAACTTAAATCACCCGGTCGAAGCCATAAGAAACCTGTCGATAGCCATGGTAGAAGGGTTCGTGGAGTGGCAAAAAATCGCAAAGATCCATGGCCGATCGGTAAGGGAAACGGTACTCGAACGGTTGACATTCTCGAGGCCGGTATCGAGTGGTTTGACCAACCGTGGACGTGACGAGTATGAAATTACTACTATCTCTTTCCTCCTCCTTCTTTCATTCCCTCGACATTCCTCCTGTCGCGCACCTTCCGCTTTCTGCGGGGAGGGAGGAAAAAAAGGTTCATCGACATCGGCGATATTCGAGCGGTAGTTTTTGTCTGGAATCAATTACGGGATCCCAATCAGCAGTGTCTTAATGTTACGTCCCGTGGATTACGTTCTATTACACAATCGAACGGTTTACGATTTCCTCGAGGATCATAACCCGTCAACTCTTTGAGACACCGAATTTTAGGCAATGAAAAGACCCATGTTGCACAGACACCTTATTCTTATAAAATTTAACAAATTAAGTTGATAATGGAGAAATGAAATTACATGAAATTGATAAAAAATTAATTAATGGGTGGGATATAAACAGCCCCACCATGCTATGAATGGTATTGATTAAAATACATTGGCGTACAGTGAACTGTTGAAATAGATAGGTTTCAATATAAACCTCTGTGTCAATTAATTTTAATTTTTCAAATTGTTATAAAAAGCATCCCACCATGCATATTTTGGAATCAAAAAGGTGGGACATTTTTAGCTCCGCCATGTTTCAAAAGGTTAACCACCTCATTTTTCAATCAGAAAAGCATCATATTTACTTTTCTTATAATGAAAAGGAGTTTGTTTGTACTGTACACCCAGTGCCGGTTTTAGCAATATTGGCGCCCTGGGCAAGATTATCGTGGCGCCCATTCAGGGGCTTAAAATTTTTAAGAAAGAAAGACAAGGTCATAACATGAAACGATGAATCTGTAGTTAGATTGTAAAAATTATTAAACTACATAGCAGCTTTACTAAGGGACACCGGGCTGCGGCGCCCCCTCCCAAAGCCGGCACTGTGTACACCAATATGTACAAGATGGATTCTTTAATTTCAAAAATCACCTAAAAGTGACCATTCTAAATGAAAATACCCCCTGAAACAACATGTTTCTCTCATTGTCACACATGACTATACCAGCCAGCTCGCCATCGCATTCGATGCAAACGCATTGAAATTCCATGGCAAGCCGGGGACAGAAACAATGGAAGATTTCCATGCAGCGATTCAACGACGCGCAAAGCAATTTAAGTGAAACTAAAATTTCCTATGTAGTCTGTCGAGATGATCGCGGGACGATAATAACGATCCTGGCCGTTCTAAATATCGCCTGGAGATCTGGAATACTAACCGACATAATTAATCGCTCCGATCGAAATTGAACACGGAGTGCCGTGCACGGCCACACGTTTCCATCGAAAGCAGCAAGCCGCAAACGACAGGTTGGCTCTTCAGCTTTGTCTCGTAGAAAGTGTGCATATTATAGTATCGTTTTCCTGCGGACTTTTTCCTTCTTTTTCAAACCTTTCACCGTCTTTGACCGACTGTTTCGTGGAATGCTCCGCCTCGAGACAGTTCCTGCTGTTAACGGGATAATGAGAGCACCAGTCTAACGGAGCACGTTCGTTTAGTTAAAGAACATGATTTCGAAAAATGAATGATTCTTTCGCCGATAAATCGGAGATTAATATTTTCTAACAAACGGAGCACGTTTCTACTTGCATTTCAAAGAGATGAATCGATAAGTCTGATTACTCTGCGGCGGAGATGACGAAGTACTTGCGAGATCAAGTGATTTTAATAGCGCGAAGCTGATGGTAATTGCTCGTTAAGGAACGTTCGTAGCGACACGAATTTTCAAACAGTTGTTCGTTCGCAACCGCAATTAAGCTGACCGCTGGTTCGTTCTACTCGCCGAACATCATGCTCTCGATGTTCTCTGATTCTCCTTGATACGCTAGAGGAACACCTTTATGGAGATTAGGCTGAAGAGATGCTGTTGATGAGACTCGAACACTTAACACTAGAACTACCAAACCAGTCAAAATGACTGGCTTCAAGTTTCTTATTTTATTTTGTACATTTTATCGAGGTTTATGTTAATCGAAATTTATGTTGGCTATTATCGAGATAAAGAATGGATGTATATATTAAAATTATGTTTCATCCTTTTTCTATTTAATTTTCTACATTATTTTCAACAAACTCGAACACTTAATATTAAAACTGCCAAACCGGACAAAATGACTGGCTTCGAGTTTCTTATTTTAATTTGTACATTTTATCGAGGTATTTTATTGAAATGTATTTTGGCTGTTATCGAGATAAAGAATGGATGTATATATTAAAATTATGTTTCATCCTTTTTCTATTTAATTTTCTACATTATTTTCAACAAACTCGAACACTTAATATTAAAACTGCCAAATCAGACAAAATGACTGGCTTCGAGTTTCTTATTTTAATTTGTACATTTTATCGAGGTATTTTATTGAAATGTATTTTGGCTGTTATCGAGATAAAGAATGGATGTATATATTAAAATTATGTTTCATCCTTTTTCTATTTAATTTTCTACATTATTTTCAACAAACTCGAACACTTAATATTAAAACTGCCAAATCAGACAAAATGACTGGCTTCGAGTTTCTTATTTTAATTTGTACATTTTATCGAGGTATTTTATTGAAATGTATGTTGGCTGTTATCGAGATAAAGAATGGATGTATATATTAAAATTATGTTTCATCCTTTTTCTATTTAATTTTCTACATTATTTTCAACAAACTCGAACACTTAATATTAAAACTGCCAAACCGGACAAAATGACTGGCTTCGAGTTTCTTATTTTAATTTGTACATTTTATCGAGGTATTTTATTGAAATGTATTTTGGCTGTTATCGAGATAAAGAATGGATGTATATATTAAAATTATGTTTCATCCTTTTTCTATTTAATTTTCTACATTATTTTCAACAAACTCGAACACTTAATATTAAAACTGCCAAATCAGACAAAATGACTGGCTTCGAGTTTCTTATTTTAATTTGTACATTTTATCGAGGTATTTTATTGAAATGTATTTTGGCTGTTATCGAGATAAAGAATGGATGTATATATTAAAATTATGTTTCATCCTTTTTCTATTTAATTTTCTACATTATTTTCAACAAACTCGAACACTTAATATTAAAACTGCCAAACCGGACAAAATGACTGGCTTCGAGTTTTTTATTTCAATTTATAAATTTTATCAAGGTATTTTGTTGAAATGTATGTTGGCTATTATCGAGAGGGTGAGGCATCTAAAACAGGCCACCTGAATAACTCAATTGCTATTGGTAATACAGAAAAAGTGGATCAGATGAAACTTGCTTGATTTTGAGGATGGCACAATTCTACCTTAATAGAGTTTTAGTAGGTGGACATGTAGAAGACATATAAAACTCAACGACGTTTTTTAAATTAAAATGATACACTTTTCTATGTACTGTCTAATAGGGCGTTTCAAGGCGCCAAAATTATTTTGGGAGTGTAGAATATGATTGTAGAATATGTCCCCCTACAAAAAAAACTATTAACATAAAATTGTGACACCCTCTACACCAAGCAAGTTTCGTCTGACCCATTTTTTTTCTATCAATAGCAATCGAGTTAGTCAGAAGACCTGTTTAAATGCTTCACCCTGTATATTAAATTATGTTTAATTCTTTATCTATTTGATTTTCAACTGAGACTCGAACACTTACTTAATACTAAAACTACCAAACCATTGAAAATGATTAGTTTCAAGTTTCTTATTTTAATTCATAAATTTCATCGACGTATTTTTGTTGAAATGTATGTTGGCTATTATCGAAATAAAGAATAGATGTATATATTAAATTATTTTTTATCCTTTATCTGTTTAATTTTCTACATTATTTTCAACTGAAAAATAAATGTGCCTCAAAGGTAGTTTTAGTGTTAAGAAAATCAAACGTGAGAACACAGTTTCTTAATCACCCTGTGCCTGTAAAGACACGGTTGTCATTCACCAACAACCCTGTGTAATTTCTGAAAACACATTATATGATCAGTTCGTACAAGGATTAAGATCGTCCGACTCGGAACTACAGTTACATACGTGTGTCTCGGTTCATTTTTGTTCTTTTTCCCAAGTGGAAACGGTAGAGCCATTGTTGGTTCACTACGTATTACCGTCGACGAGATTACGGTGTTCGTTGTAGCCGAGGTTACAGTAAGGCAGCTAACTTAGTTTCTGAGGTATACATTACGCGGGGAGAGCGAAGATGCTACGAAACAGCGTGAGAATCTGGGTAAATTAAAAAGCATTTGATATCTCGAGCGCACTCGGAAGCTTTGATTAACGATATACAAATTAAAATTTCGATACCTATAATTTTATTAAATTATAAAGATCAGGAGTTAATTAATCGTTCGCGATCTTGGGATCGCGCGTAACGACCCCTTTGCGATCTATGATGTATCCCGCAGATAAGATCGACGAATCAATTTCCTAACTTGTTAACAAGACTTTCGTTTCCTATTTGGATCGAGGCGTCGTGTAAATAATAATTATAAACGCGGCTTGCATGCCGCGAACGGATAACGGTGTTGGCGAACACCATAACCTTCCTAACGTGAGAGCATGGGATCCCGTGAGAATGTAGGTGAATTGCATCGTTGATTCTGTCGCAGCGAACGGGGAATGCAGTCTGTTGGTCAGGTTCGCGGTGTCCTGAATCCTTCAACAGGTCCAAGGTTCTTCTGCGTCTGCCTCATCCGGATAAGTCATTGCCCGGAATAATTAGCAATGCTAATTTAACGGCCTCACCGTTTTGACCGCCCCGTTGAATTCGCCGAAAATTTCACCGACTCTATGGAGTAATTAGTTTTTACTATTGGGCATACTAGATGTAGAGATAATAGGCTGTCGTGACACGGACGAATAACTTTGAGAAAATGCAAGAGCTCGCGTGAAGTTCATGGTAAACACGACGTGCGGCTCACGAGGTAACGAGGTAACATAGTTTCTGTGTTGTGCGGAAAACGTCCGTAAAAAATATTACCGGTTCTAGATACCTTCGATTGCCTGACGAGATATCTATGTAACGATGATATTTACCGACCACTGAATCACATTAATGGAATCTCGCGTGTACAGGGATTAACGACCGCGTTTCCTCGTCCATTAATTTTCATTCTTGTTCCCAATTGCCTTTAATGCCCGTCATTCCACCCTCTTTTGTCTCTTCGATTATCTACGTTTTGTCATTGATTACGAGGGATAAGTTTCCGAATTGCTCCACCAAAATTGAGAACTCAGGTTCGGTATATAACCTAAATTGACTACCAGAAACCGATTAAAATTGGTTTCAGAGCTGGATGTCTCACCATTTTTTAGATATCGTGGTAAGAAATTTTTGTACAATTTTGGGACTGTGTATGCGCTATTTGATACTGCGCATGCGCCATTTGATACTGAGCATGCGCTATTCGGTACTGCGCATACACAGAACCTAACCTAACATAACCAAACCTTACCACGATATCTCGAAAACGGTAAGACATCCAGCTCTGAAACCAACTTCAATCGGTTTCTTGTAGTCAATTTAGGTTATATACCGAACCTGAGTTCTCAATTTTGGTGAGACCATTCGGAAACACGGCCATTACACGCTGTTAACAATTGCTCGAGATAATGAATGAAGATACACGCGAATTTAGGATCACCCCCGTTACTTATGTAGACTCGTGGTGGCAAACCTAAAGATGGCACGTCTTTACGTTGGCACGAATTTATAGATTCAATTTTTTTTCTAATAGCTAACATAATTGCTGACTAGTTATTTAAATAAATATATTAAAAAAACTACTTGGCACGTCAGACAGTCGATAAATAATATTTGGAAATTTTTGGCCACCACTGATGTAGACCGAACGTAGTCCACCAAAACACCCTGTAGATTGTCTGACGCCGCAAATTGGGTCGTTCGAACCCGTGACGCAATTCTAACAACGTCTGGCACGACTTGAAAGCAAGAAGAAAGAAACGTCGAAGGGGGTTTGTCCGTGAAAGACCGTAGACCGAGCTATGCGACGGTAACTCGAGGCGGTAACGGCAGAGTTAACGGTACACCATTCCAGCCCAATATTTATTCTTTTCGCTGGCGAACACGACATTTGGTAGCCCCATCCTCGGGGTTCGACAGGTGTCGGGGCGACCTTCGACACGTGTTCCCCGGGACTCGTTAACACGCACCCTGCCACGTGGAGCGTACACGACCCACGTTCGACTATCTCTTCAGATCCTCTTTCAATTTAACCATTATCTTGGGCAATCGTCCACTTGTCCTTTCGAGGAGGATTTTCATGAAAATTTGTCTTCTTCATCCAGCAGACGAAATGTTGAACGGTGAACCAATGGACTTTCCGTTCTGACGCGATTTCGTGACACTTTCACGGCAAACGCGTCTGGGCGAAAGTCGAGTGACGAAACCCCATGCCGGATACGTTTCTTTGTAGCAGTGGCTCGTCCACGTTAACGATGACGTTAAACGTCTCATGTAAATTCTTCTGGTTGCGTAAACCAGTTGAAGTTGCAAGTTGGAAGAAGAGAGCTCGTAAAAATAATTTTTCATTTCGTTTAATCGCGCGTGGAATCTGGTCGATGACCCGAGGACCTTGGCGATTAAGCCGCACCTAAGTTCTGAAAAACTGTCCAATTTGCATAGGTCAACGAACCGTTTGCGTCCACGTATTTGTTATCGAACGACGAGTTTCTCGATTCCCTTTTCAAGAATTTTGTAATTTTTATGAGAATTTTAGCTCTCCTCGGCAAACTGTGAACGCGTAAATGTTTCTTAGCGCTTTCGAACGAACCTTTTACTCTGGGATGTGAAAATCTCTGAGTAACAGGTACGTGCCAGGACACGAATGCGCGTCATGTTTGCAGCTTTCTCCTCTGTTGCTTTTGAAACGCGACTGTGACGCATGTTTCTTTCAAACAACGTCCCAATGTATTCATTTTTTAATTACTCGAGCTTTGTTAACGCTATGCGTGTTCAATGGAGAGCCTGATACTCCATTACGAGGAGAGAAATTAATTACCGTCAGCTTTACTCGACTTTTGAATATTTATACTCGAGATAACTCTCCACAGGTCAACGAACCCTTCTTTTTTTCCACCGAGTTCCTTGAATTCTAGCCGCAACTTTATGGTGGAATCTTATAGTAAATTGTTGATATTCTTTGGTAGAGCCGGATGTATACCTACTTACCTATCTACATCGCGGAACATGGTAAATCATCGACTGTTATCAGTTTCCGCTGCAATTACCAGTCGATTGCTCGATTTGTATGATTATTCCCGTGAAAGCACCCTCTGGCTGTGTGTTAGGGATGCAAGCATTCCTGAGGATACTTATTACAGTGTTCATTGATAAATAAGTATCGTTTTTCGACGACGTATACAGGGTGTCCCAGCTTAAGTGTTATAATTCCGTTATTCCGTAACTATCAATGGTACAAAAGATTGTTGATATGGGAATTGCACGTTAAAAGGGTGCCTATGTTTTGGCCGAAGTGAAAAATCTTTTGCATTATTAGTTTGAGAGATATAATGGTCAAGTTTTGTTTTTTAAATGGAGCCATATATTTTTTTCAGATCATGTAATAGTGCTTCTCAAGACGAATTCATTAAGCTTTAGTGTACACACTCGATTTTAATTAGTTTTCAAGATATAACGTTTACAAATTTCCCGATTTTCAGTAGATAAGTCTCGGTTTGAGTAGCATGTCGTAAAAACGGCCCTATTGTAACTCGATGGACACCTTTGGTTCACTATCTTGTCTCTCGGACATCAGGAGATTTTCGACAGAGGTCAAGGTACCGGTTTAAAACTCGACCGCACGTGGCTTCTTTAATAAAGTCCCATCAAACAGGTTCACGCGTTAATTCCATAAGCGTTTTAAAAATGAATCTACCCGTACGTCAAAGTTTCCGCAGAAATGGAAACCCTGTGTATTTGCACTAAGCATAAGCGTAACCTTGAGTCGGCATCCACTTACCTGAAAGAATCAGCAGCGACAAGGTCACGAGGACCTTCGACCCCGCGAGTTCTGGCATCCTGGTATCCTTGAGCGTTGCGGTCGAACGGTGGTTGCACCTTCCGATCAAGGTCAGGCTAATTGTCAAGGACACTGGAGAGAAGTTCTTTAGCAACACCGACGGTGGTTGGACCAGTCTTTATCGTTGTAAATCGTGCCACGATACCAGCCGATCGCCGCCATTTTGGATCGCGAACCTATGCCGAGTAAAAACGTCGAGCATCGTGGAAACTCGAATGCCCTCGTCTCGCCATTCTTTCCTTCCTTTCTTCGTTCAATCCTTCTCCCGTCGATACTTTTCTTTCTTTTTTTCTTTCCCTTCTTCCTCTCTTTTATTCGGTCTCGCACTCTCGCGCACGCCGGTTGACCTACTTGGCCGCAGCTAGGTCCGGTGTGTTCTTGCGTTCGTGAACAAGAACGAGTCAGCTTTTTCGTACGATGTAGTACGTCTCACCTTCTTTTCCACCTTTCTCGCGATCTATTCCTCGATTTTCCACCTTTTTTCCCCCAAACTTTCTCGCGCTTTTTCAGCTTTCCACTCGTTAAGCTCACCAAACGTTTCCACGTCGCGTCTCGCTTATGCGGGTTGATGTCACTCGCAGCTGCTGGTGTCCTAATTAGAGAGACGTTTCACTTATTTTACAAACTGGAAGACCAGTTTTACACGGTTTTAATTCCTCCAATTATTAACAGGATATTTCTTCTTGGTTTCTACATGGCATACACCTTTCCTCACAGAACTACACTGCTTCTTTATTCGATACACTATCGACGCGCGTTTAACTTCACCGATCCTTTTGGAAGTGTGTTATCGAGTTGACACAAAATTACCACCGGTAGACAGCTATATCCGACTTTCGAATCACTGGACTGTGATAAAACTCGTCCTCCATCGATGTTTCGCGATACTCGTACCGTGGGTCGAACGAATATCTCGGTGAATTTCGTTGAAAAATCGAAGGAGGTTGAATCGAGGAGAAGGAAGAGCCTCGGGAGGCTTGATCGAGTTTCGTTCGAGGTTCGCTTGACGGTCGTTCACACGGGACTGGCTTACGGTGAGGACGGTCATACACGGTTTCTCCCACTTTAACTATGCCATGCTACACCATGGTGCACTATACTACTCTTCACCACTGTATACGTCACGTCTTGGTAGCTCGTTTCCACCATGCCCCGAGCTCTATCGTCCACTGGACTCATCTCCTCCCCACTCACCTTTCGAATTTCTCTATCTCCGTTTCTTTCTCACCTTTTCATCTGTCTCTTAATCGCGAACCACCTTCCTCTTGCTCACTTTTTACGCACAAGCCTTACCTCGACCTACCTTTCGATTCTTTCGGGACTCTGGTCACCTCAAACTTTATCTCTTACTCCGAGCTCCCTCTTTCTTTTTCTTTTCTTCCTCTCTCTTCGTCTGCAGTTTCTTCAGCGAAGCGTGTCTACCTGTGCACCGACCTCCTCGAAGCGTCCATTTTCCACCTGTTCCTACCCTGTTCTTCCTTTACCTTCCGCGATTTTACTCTGGCGAAAGGGAAACGCGGGATTTCGTCGAGGGAAGAAAATCATTGGAAAACAACAGCCTAGATTTCTCTTGCAGATGCGGGTAAATTGTGCAAGGTGCACGAGCTATGGAAGCCTGTGCACGTGCAGATAACGGGATTCAGTAAGCGGCGGTTAAATGGAAAAAATCAATAGGTCCTGAATGACTGCGGTATCCCTCGAGGGTTCGTAGGGATCGAAATGGTACTTCGAGCCTTTATTATAGCGGGAATTAGAATTCTCGTAGGGTCAAGCAGCAATAGATAGGCAGTCCATTAGACGAGAAAATCGAAGGGGATACTGTATCTCCCCTAATTAAACATGATTGTTATAAATTTCGAGGGCGTGGCCGATAATTTTCGTAGGGCAGAAGAACCAAAAGGCGCATCTTCACAGGTGTAAACGAGGGAAAATTATGAAACGGAATGAAATAAATTTCGAGGAAGCTGGAATAAAAGTAAAGCAGATTTACTGATAACTGTTGATGAGATTGAAGAACGCAGCCTTCGAGGGACAAACCACTGTCAAGATAATCGAGGAACAAACGTTCCCCGGAGATAAATGATCTGGGTGGAAGAAAAGGAGCAACGGAACGGGTCAAGGCGGTCCTTTTTTGCGGGATTTCGAGGCTCCATTAATGACCTCGAGGAACAAGTTTGAAAATGTACGCATTCCTCGTGGTATTAAATAGAAACGATAAATATCCTCCCGAAGAAAGTGTTTAGAATTCATGGTATTTAAACATTCGTGCTTAAAAAGATCATCTGTTGCTGTACGTTTCTCGCAATTATGGCAATTTAACGAGAGAGTTGCGAACTCACGAAAGTTCAACAGGTGTGAATATTCGCGAAGAAGTTTCTCTGAAACGTCTCGATCGTTCTTTCAAACGCAACGTAATGTTCTCCGCTGTGTATACAGCAACGACCCTTCGTTTTCTTATTCTCTTTCTTCCTTCTTTCTTCATATGGTCAAACCAGACTGGAATGCGCGGCTCTGCCTTCTCGATCAGTCAAGCAACATTGGTCTCCAGAATGTCAGCTTGCTGCTGAAATTGCATCGTAATCTTTCGTACCATTCCGGCAAAAAGACTGCGTATCGAATTCGAACGAATTCCCTTCAAAAGAACGCGAGCAATCCTAATTAAACCTGTGTACACGTGTACATTGATATCTGGGCTTCTCGTATCGAACGTTTCGCTTTTCGGGGTTTCGTTTAGAATTCTTCTCCAGATCTGCTTCGAACGAGAGGATTCTATTTACCCATTGACCTCACGTAAAGCGGTCGCAGCATTTTCTATTCTCAAAGTTTCCGAAGCTCGGTCAGGCTCGTCTGTTGAGCAGCGCACGGAGAATTAAAATTGCATTTCAGTGTAACGGGTAGCCTGTTGGGCAAGTATCCATGAAATTAGTCGGTCAGTAACTCAGCCTCATCCGGGATCGAATAATAGAATGTAAAATTATTTGGTCTTGGCATTGTTAGGCTATATTGTTCCGTAGAACCATTTCCACCCTATTTGGTGAACGTTGCAAGATCTACACGATTTCTGTAATGCAACATTCTTCAGCTGCAAACAGTGTAGCAATCTAAAAGCATTCATTTGATCCGCTATGGTAAAGGTAGCTCGCTGAACGACCGGCGACCGGTAAGGCAGGTCCCTTCCGTCGATAATCAAACCTTCGACAGTCGGTACTTCAAAAATTTCAATTTCTTTCAAGGGGAAAGCAAATCTTATGTACAGAATTCCTAAAATGGAGCCTTGAGATAAATATCCATTTGAGAAATACTTATGGAGAGGGTCCATATCCATTTCTTCTAAATGGACACTGTTCCTCTTAACATAGAGTCCACTCGCTTCCACTAAAAATCATAGATTCAAACGAGCAGCATTTGTTTAAACAAAAAGGGAAGAAATTCGACTGGTCAGAGTAATGGAGCAGCAGCTGGAGGATCTCCAGCTCGTTTCGTCGGTGTTTTCCTATTCAACACGCGGTCAGGATACGGCCTGAGAGCATCCTCTATTTTCATTCCAGACTGGGTCGAACAATGGGGGATCTAAATTGGGCAAAAACCAGTCTGCCGTCTAGTTTGGCGAGGCCGAAGGCATTCTGGCGCAGCCGGGAACAACGTTGGCAGCTCTGGGCTGCCACAACAAGGCTCCCCGTCAAACGTGCCCGGCCGCAGTGGTTCAAATCCACGGGCTTACGGACCTATGAGCAGGAGCATCCTTAGCTCTGGGTGAAAGTGGTAATTAACGACGCGCACCGATGGAATGTCCCTTTTCCCCGTCGTTCCTGTCGCCGATGGTTCATCGTACTCCCGACCGGTTATGACACCGCTCTCTTTTTATTTAGTCAACGCGATTCCCCCAATCCTGCGACTTTTCGACTTCCATCATCGGCCGTCCTTTTTTGCCGACTGGCTATGCAAAGTGGAGATACTGAGTCATTTCAGAGCAGCTGGTTCTCGTGCTACTTCTCGAATTCTAAGATCCTTGAAACTTTCATAACCTGGATTGCTCTGATGATATTTGCTGAAACTTTCCGGGTATTAGCTGGCTCCTTGCGAAGTATTGTTCCAACGCTACGCAAGCATCACGGTTTCATTCATCAATGTCTTAGCGCTGATACCCACCGATTATCGGTGCTTAGACTTTGATGAAGTTAGCTTCTGTGCTTGCAGAACGCTATCAAAGAGTATACCTGGAAATCCTCGGCAACTCCGTGAAATCGAGGAACTGACTCATTTCCAGGCAGGTAGACGCGTTCCAATTAGATAGGGACACGGGAAATAGTGCGCAGTCTGTGTTTTTGCAAAGTCACAGACGCTGATACCACAAGAATCGCAAAATTGAAGAGTCAGCGGTATATAGGGTTATAAGTAGGACATGGTGGATTGTAGAATCAGAATGTTAGCTCGTTAGAGAACGAGTAGAAATAGCTTTATTAACAATTTTTGTACACGTATCAAGCGCTGATTTATAGCACGAACCTGCCGATAATCGCGTTTCGATGCGACAAACGGTACTTGGAACTGCTTCATTATACGAACCGCTAGGTCAGTTTATGACACTCGTTTGGAAGGTCCGTATTATCTGGTCAACGCATCGTGTATAACTAGAAAGGGTAGAACATAAATTCTTCAGGTGACGTTCTTAACCGTCAGTCGGTATACAGTTACGACTATAACTGTGCCCTGCCGTGTGTGTGTACGTTCAGTGTCATTTTGTTATTCGAAATCATTAACCGACGCTTTTCAACAAGTCAACCAACAAGGTAGATAGCTAAGCACAGCATGAATGATAAGAAGTTAGGACGTACGCTTCCGCGATGTTCCAAGAGCCAGGAGCGTACAATCGATTCATTGTGTTTCCTCAGTTTGCCTTGAAAATATCGTACTCGACGGGGGCTAGGTTCACCAGGTGTATCTGGAGACATAATTTCCGACAGCCAGCCTTTTATTTACTCGATGCATCGACAAAAGCATCCTTTCCTTCGTCGGCTTAATTACAATACTTGCATAAAAGTACCGTTTCCGGTGCATTAGGTTCCCTGGGTGGTTTTTCCGGGCCATCGTATTCAAAATAAGGAATAATTTAACGACTGGCCGTAGGACGAAACAATGGCCAGTTTGTCGATACAATCTGGTTGTACAGCATGTAACGGAACAGTTCTTTTCTTTTAAACATTGAACCGACCTTCGTTAACATCCATGTCGTAAAACTCTGTTATTTTCTCTATTCAAGAATGGCCAGTGCGATGATCGAGCAAATCATCGACCGGAGAAACAGTCATAAAGGCTTGTTCGTAGAAATTACCTGCCTCTCCTAGTTGAATTGCCAATTTACTCGCTTACGTGGAATACCGTCCTGTGACTTATGATGAATCAAATATGCTTAGTAACACTAGCCAACGGGATTCGTCAACAGGCATCGACTCGAGCTTCTGAGTTTTTAATAAAGCGAATGTCTCAGGGGTAAGTTAGTCATGCGATAAAGTAACATCGATTTGTATCACGAGTAGGATGCACAAGGCATTACGTAATGAACTGTACAGCATGATTTGTCACGAGAACAACCAGTGACTCGCATGAAAGTACATAATCGTTACTGTACACCGTATGCTCTCGGTAGGCATGCAGATGTACCAAATGATTTTCTTTCTCCCTCTCTGTGTCGCGTGACAGTGACGTCTCGCTTAATCGCGGCGCCGAACATCGCTCTCTTAATTAAGGAAAGAAAAAAAACCGTGCGCGTGATTCGAGCGTTGAAACGGACCGTTCCTTCTTGTCACTTCTGTAAGGGGAGATAGGTATGCTTTTCCCTTCGACGTGCTAACACGAACTGCCCTGTAAATTAAGGAACCAACGCCCTAAGACCATCGGTCGTTCGTTCTTATCTTCATTAGACCCTCGGGGGTGTAGGGACGGAAAATGAAGTTCACATGGCGACGACAGCCGTAGCATCCCGCGGGTGAGCCCTGCGACCTAACATAAACCGTCCCCGTTGCGTTTATTACGATCGTTCGGATTTCAATTCGCTTATTGATAAGTAACGGTAACGGAAGGACGGTCGTTAAAGATTATTATTCCGGTAGTCGCGGCGCGCGGTATGCGCGAACACGGAAAAATGGTGGCGCGTGAACCGCGCGAGCGCGAGCGCCGGGGAAGCCCGGCATTCACGGGTGCACTGGTCGCCCTACGAAGGGCTCCAGTGACAATGGTCCGTCCCTGGACCGTAGACTCTCAGCTCATTCCATTCGAGAGCCAGCCATCGTTTCTCGGCATACATCGGCCGCCGGAGGAAGCATTCCATTCATGTTTCGGGACGCGAAGCGGACGCTGATCGAAGGACGAAAGAGAGACAGAGTCGGATAACCGGGACTCCTCCGCGAGGACTAGCGCTGCCTGGCGCCACCGACAGGAACAACGACCTGCTGTTGCTGCTGCTGCTGCTACTGCTGCTGTCGTTGATACACCACCAGTCGTTATGATGACAATCGGCAAGTTAACGTGAGACACTCACGGACCAACCACGTGGTGCGTGCGAAGATCTCGGACCCGTCACTTCCTTCGCTGGAATCTAATCACAGAAGGGTGCGTTCTCGCCGATCGAATATGTACCGTGTGCCGCGAAGTGACAGACAGTGTGGTTCGATCGAAAAGCTGCATAACTCGGCTGCACTTCCGTCGCGAGGACAATGCTGCTTTTATATGTGAGTATCGCGTCAGTCCTGTTCCAACGATGGGGATTTCGAGCCGGGATGCAAGGATCGTGTTTTCTGAATCCACCGGGTTCGACCCTCTCTCGTTTTCATTCGCTCTCTTTATCTCTCCTTCCCTTTCCTCTCCCTTTCTCATTTATCTCACTTCGTCTGCCTCTACTTTGTCCCTCCGCATCCCGCGGCCTTCTGCTGAAACTTCACGGAGGAAGTGCGGTTGAAACGTTGCAGAAGCACGTTGAACCGAACGGAGAGATTTTTCATTTATCCAGAAAATTTCGCGACGCACGAGACATGCGGCAAACAGGATTAGTAAGAGCAACATGATCCTGAATCACGGGCTTCCCTAAAGCGTCAGTCCCAATGAGTTTCCCGGAACGTGCTATGTAATTCGTAAGTCATCCGTAGGGGTAATATAAAGCCGAAGCGATAGACGGTCGTCCTGTCAGTGGGTAATTTAAGAGGCTTCCTGACGCGGATCGGGCTGCGTGGAATCCTAGGTAGCTGTTAACGGCGCGCGGCGTCGCGTCGCGTCGACTCGTCTCACGAACCTCCCTCTCCGCGTGCATATACTGGCGAGCCGATCGAGACGGTAGAGGAGCGTTGGAAGGGCTAGTGGCAGCTGTCGGTAGCGGTCGATGCGAGCGAACGCGCGGCTCGATCGAGGTCCCCTCGAGAGCCAGGCAGGCAAGCGGGCAGACAGCCAGACAGAGGCCTACTTCCTCGAGGGCTCGGCAGCGACAGAGCCCGTATGCGTGTCCGTCAGTCGTGTCAGTACTTTTCAGCTCGATCTACAGTGCAGTCGACTTTTAGCATCGCATCGGGTCTCTCTCGACTGGCAGGGTCGTCGTGACTCGGCTGTCGGCTACACGACGATTCGTTGGGTTATGGTCTCACGCGCGCGCGCGTGCTCGCGCTCGCGAGTGCTCGAACGTCGTGTGCTGTTCTCGTGCAACTATGATCGGTCTCGCAAGTGTTATGTATCCTTACTACCGTGCATCCTGTCGTTGTTGTGCACCGTTTCTCTGCCCGCTGACTCGGGTTCGCTTGTAAGCCACAAGTTGGCGAAGTGTAATCGCGTCTCCTCGTAGGGTAGGAGAGTGGACGTGCGCGTGTACGCAGAGCGACACTCGTTTGATACCGCTTCCGGCACGTGGAACATACCGCGCACTCTCTCTCTGTTTTTGTTCTCAACGCATATCGCTGCCGTCGACTCGGAGTTTCTCTCGTGGGAGGTCAGCACCTAGCCGGTGAGTAAGCGAACGGAACCCGTCGTTCCGAGGACACCGTTCTTTGCATAAAGCATCCTTACCTGAAAAAAAAGAACACCTCTCGATCTTTATTTCCTTTCTTTTTTTTTTTTTTTTTTTTCAAAAGACCGCCACCGCCTGATCGGATGCAACTACGCACTTTTTCTCCGTTACCAAACGCGTCTCGGAGATGCGACACTTGTTGCTCGTTTTTCTTAGCGCCCGCGATTTGGAGGCTAAAAAAAAACCAACTACCGTGCCTCCGATTACAACGTCGACAGAGTTTTCCGGACGTTTACAAGTTCGAACGTTGTACCGAATCTCGGAACGTTCGGATCCGCTTCATTTTTCTCGGGATTTTTCATCGTGAGAACGCCGGTTGTGTTACGGTAGCGGCGCGTATCTGCGGAACCTGAGAACGTGGAATGTCGCGACACTCGAGATAAGACAAGAGTGAACCGTTTACCGGGCGGGGGGCAAATCCCCCTTTACGCTTTTTCTTGTTTACGGACCGTCGTCGACCACGTGGCGATAGATCGCGAATTACTCGTTTGAATTGAAAAACGTAAAGCGTCAAATTTCGTCGATGCGTTTGTCCTTCGAAGCATGCAGCCAGTCGCGAGCCTCGACGGGAGAAAATATTTCACGCGCGCGCATTGTTGCCGCGATTGATTCTCGTGAACGGAATTCGAAAACTACCGCGAAATCTGACAATATTCTCGAATCGTCGATAATCGTCACATTTTCGCGACTTACATCCAGGAATGGTTGAAACAGTTATGCATTCAGCACCGCGCTAATCGACGAAGCATGCTCGATTAGTCATCGTTTAAAAGATAAATCTCTTTGACGGCAGATTCGGACATCGTATTTCCGCGAACGATTCGAGTATCGCAATGATTTTCAAATCGTAGATAATACATTTCGGATCATTGATATCGCGAGACTTTTTCCTGGATTCTCGAGTGTCTGGGAGTTAGGGTCTGTTTCGAAATAGAAACGACCAGAAGGGCTGACTAATAGTTGGTTGTGTGAAAGACCCGAGCAGATAATAGTGTCAACCCCATGAATAATCTGAAACCTACTGGCGCCTCCTTGTTTACTTTCTTCGTCTATGCGCCGCTTCCGGTCTCACCGAAACTTTCGACTCTTTATCTATCTATATATTGCTTCCTGTCCTCTGTCTAATTTCCAATTCTTCGATCATCCGTTGAATAATTTATATTTCATTATAATTTCAAGTTAACGGTGTAACATTTGTATCGTTAGTATAATAGTAGATTATGAGCAACGTATGTATATAGGTAATATCTAACGAAACGATTGGGCAGGTGTTTTTTCTATCGATCGCATTAGCATACCAGCGAAATAATTTGCTCTAATTCGCGGAGAAATTGTAACAGCGATAATAGTTGATTGATAAGTTGCGGTCTCGTTCACGAGAACATACGAGGTCCATTCATTCGTTCGTCACTCGTTTCTCTGACGATTTAAAGAGCTCTCATCGACGAAACGAGACGACCTCGTGTGGATCGTTTAGTCTTCGCTAGTTGCTGAAACATCGCTACGATTCACGGTACATTAACGGAATCTTCTTTTATCGCTTCGTAATACATAGTGCGTAAACAGTGTGTAACACGTGTAACACCATTAAAAGATACGGGAACAGAACAGAACACGTTGTGCAATCAGACGTCGATGTTGGGAAAAATCATAGTCAATTTACCGACGAATCTTGTATACACGAGACTGATGTGTAATGTTCATGGGGTTTACGAGATAATGGAAGAGAAGGAAGTGATATATATATATGGGTGCCTCTTTTTGATATTTACTTTCCTATACATTCCTTGTATTTCTTTCAACCGTTTCGATTCCTCTTATCTTTTATCTAGCCCCGGACGAAGCTTTCCTGTGTTATCGTTTCCTTTGCTTGGTACCACCAATTTGCTCTCTCACTTTTCCTTTTTCTTTTTAATCCCTCCCCAAAAAATGTCTATCGCTGTTATTAGTACATATTCCTTTTTAAATTTAGATATTCCAGCAGTTACAAACCTCTGGATGGTTCGTTTCGTAAAAGTGTGGCGATACATTGGATACAGTGTGTCAGCAAGATGATCTCGAGATACTGTTACACGCTTTCTTTCGCTCTACGTAAAGTCCCATTTTTCTTAGTTTCGTGTTTCTCGTGGGAAAGCGTGCGTCGAACTTTCGTCGAGTGCCACCAACGATGTTCAAAGAAGCGAGTTTCACTTTTTTACACTTAAATCTGTCAGAAAGGGAAGTTATCGAAGGGAGTCGCCATCGATTTCGACAGAGACCTCGTAGGATAGAAGAACTTCCGGTCTCAGAGGGAGGGGGGAAAAGTTGAGAATACGAAGTACCGTTGAATGATAAATAATCATAAATCTAGGCAGCGATAACATTGTAGACTTTTTAACGTTCCATGCTTATTGGTGTATGTAAATATTACGAAACTCCAAGTATGCTTTGCCTTTTCTTGGCCCTTAAGCCCCCGTTCGAATTTTCTTGGTTTATCAGGACGGAAAGTAGGTCTTCGTATCGCGCAACCCGCTATTTATCATCAACAACACGCCCTACTCATTCAACTTTGTTGCTAGCATGACATTTGTCGCCTTTTCTACGATGTTTCTACGATTACGTTAGTCCGTATTAAGTTGCGAAGCAGTTGCTCCGACTTTCGAATCGTCTCTCCCGATTATTGCACGCGCGTGAAAAATGTGTTGAAATTTTCTTAACAATACAACAATCCGTGAATTCACTTGGAATAAAAATTCTCGTTTCAAGAACGCTCGTTATCGAGCGAACAAACGGAGCAAGGGACGAACACCCCTAACCGTAGGTACCGTATAAGGATGTAGGTCTGCCATTTACTAAATGTTCTGGAAAGCCGACGACGAGGTAGGGCTATTATACGAAACGCAGGTGTTGGTGCAGATGTCGCGTAGCAGACGGTGCAGCGGTGCGATCGTGTACGATAATTTTAATGAAACTCCAAGAGTCAACGATATTTGCGTTCCGGGAGTCCGCAAGTGTCTCACCATACAATTGTATCGCTCTCTTTGCAGTCAATTATTGTTTCACCTTATCGTCTACATCTTAATACATCGTTCGAGAAGCTCAATATTTATGTATCGATAATTACCCGAAACGGATTGTGGAAATCGATCGTAAAAAGCGTTCGTTCCTTGTGTTTCGATCACCTTGACACGATGTAACACAGCTGTCGGCTCAGAACGTACAAAATCCTTTCTTAAATTCAACCGTTCTACATTGGAAGACGTTTGCGTATAGCATTAATTTTCATCTCTCGTTTCAGGTGAAACTCGAAATGTTGTGATGGCTGGGACATCGCGACGTCCGAGCTCCGAGCTCGGACCCGATCTCTCGTCCCCAACTCCGCCGAAGAAGTCCAAGTTCTCCGCCGAATCGTCCGTCGAAGGACCGTCGGAAAAGGAGCATGAGTTGAGCACCGAAGAGCTGGAGAGATCGGTGGTGGCGTCGTTGTCCGGGAAGACGTTAGAGCTGATCCCAGGAGTCGCGTCGGGATCCAGTCCGTTCGAGATCAGCGATGAATCGTTGGACAGCACGAAGCAGCTAATACAGACTAGTTTGGAAGGTTCGGTGAAAGTCACAGCTGGTTGTTCGAAGGAGGCCCACTTCGGTAGCTTTGAAACGATCATGCAAATGAAGTACAGTGGGCCCGAGGAACAACTATCCAGCTTGAGTAAACGATCTGACACAGATAGTGACGTGCAAATTCAAACTTCGCTGCTAGGTGAAGACGCATTGTATCAGGAGTTGTCATTGATCGGAAACGGCGCTTACGGGACCGTCTACAAAGCCAAGGACCTGAACACAGGACAGGTCGTCGCCCTGAAGAAAGTCAGGGTGCCCCTCACTGAAGATGGTTTACCTACTTCTACCTTAAGAGAGATCGCAACCTTGAAGCAGCTGGAAAGATTCGAACATCCGCACATAGTAAGCATTGTTTCCATTAGTAACACCACCTTCCAAGTACCTAATAGATAAACTTCCTACAGAAAGGACCGGGCATTCCTTGTTACCACACGCGTCAAACTAACGTTACACAAAATTTACACAGAGATTTCTCGACGTAGGGATCTTCCGTTTGCTGGAGGATTAGCCAGGTCATCGGCAAATATTCTGTCCCTAAACTTTGAAAGACCCAAATGGTTCCCGCCTATGTTTCATTCTCTATCTGCTTGTATTTGTATTTACACGAATTCGCTATTGTGTACACAGGTAAGACTGCTGGACGTTTGCCAAGGAAATTACCTGCATCTACCCTCTGCTGACGGCAGATCGGAGAGGCTCGATCGTGGTTTGACCCTGTGGCTAGTGTTCGAACACGTGGAAAGGGATCTGGCTTCTTACATGGCCTCCTGTACACGGCCAGGTATCCCCCCTCATCTGGTGAAGCAGATGTCCAAGGAGATACTCAGGGGTGTCGAGTTCTTACACAGTCACAGGATCATACACAGGGACTTGAAGCCTCAAAATCTGTTGGTGTCCAGGGAAGGGAGAATAAAGATAGCGGATTTTGGTTTGGCAAAAACGTATGACTTTGAAATGAGATTGACTTCTGTGGTAAGTTTAACCAACCATGTGTTATAATGTATAACGTTTGTACGAGCATATTGATGGTTTACAATTGTTCTTATGCGCAGGTGGTAACTCAGTGGTATCGTGCCCCAGAAGTACTCCTGGGTTGCTCTTATGCGACTCCTGTGGATATTTGGTCCGTGGGTTGCATACTTGCAGAGTTGAGCAGACTCAAACCTTTGTTTCCAGGTACAAGCGAAGGTGATCAACTTGATAGGATTTTTCAGTAAGTCAATGAAAATGCATTTCTAGCTTGTATGTCGGGGAAAGAGTACTAATTTAAATGTATGTTCTCGGTACTTTTTATAGAGTTATAGGAACTCCGTCGCAAGAAGAGTGGCCTGAGAATGTCTCCCTCAGTTGGACAGCTTTTCCTAACAGGCAACCGAAACCTCTCGCGGCGATAATATCTGATCTCAATGAGCATGGACTAGATTTAATTAAGAATTTACTTATGTTTAATCCTCACAGTCGACTGACTGCCACTCAAGCCCTTAGACATCAATATTTTGCTGAAGATGACTCGTGATGAGTATGTTTTTTCCTTTTTCATGACTATTTTTGTCACTTTTCAATTAGTTTCCTTCTCTTTTTTTTTCTTTTACGTGCAGACTGACGTTACGGTATCCAAAAATACGTAAGCATATTATTTTATAGAATTGTTGTAGAACTTTTTCCTTTGTTCTTTTTTTCGGTAAGATTGTATAGTTTATCGCGAGTATAGTACAGTATGATTTATAAATATTCTTTTCTAATTTAGATATTGTAAAGTACGTTTATTATAATCTGTAGAACTATCATCGTATTTAATTCGTATTGACCATTGAATTACTTCGAGCATCGTTATAATTTAATTCCACACAAAGCCGTTAATCAGTACGATATAAAATAATTTTTTGATTTAGGTAGGCGGCCGTATAATTTTCACGGTATATTATTTATTTAGATATCATTTAATTAAGATTTCTGTTATTTTTGTTTCCATGATACTGTTAAGTCTCGACCAATCGACGTTCCATTTATTTTATAACGGCTCTCAGTTACGTAGGAGATAATAGTTTTTCCAGTGTAGATAAATAGGTTTACGAATGCGCACCAAAAATTATTTCGTATAACGATTGACTAGGTGTGCCTTCCAATGTCGCTAAATATTGGTATTCCATGCCTTAATTTTCTATGTAATTAAAGTTAGCAATAAGGGTGTACCGTTAAGTAGCGTTATTCTTGTAAGACTGGGGCCTCTTTGACCCGTTAGATTTGACGGGAAGACCTAGGATCTTCCCCGTAATAAATAAAAAAAAAAAGAAGAAGAAAACCAGAAAGTACACTGCCATATGTATGTAAAACGAAACAATACCGTTTAATACTGTATTTTATGTTCAGTATGTGTATAAATCCTAAGTTTACAAGCAATATTTATATATAGATATATATTATATATATATAATATGCAGTTTATAAAGAAGTGTGTGGAGGACCTTTAAAAAGACTGTACAAGAAAATATAGATTTTATAGTTTTATATTGTTGCGATTCCCGCCTGTATGTATAAATATAGTATTGTGTGAACTAGACCGTAAGAAAATCTGAATGTAGCCCCATTAAAAAAAAAACGCGTTGAATTCAAACTTAATGATGTTCAAATCAGAATTTAGTCCTTTGTTTAAAATTGTAAATTATCAAGGACTACTGGTTATAAAGCTCTATAGGCATAGTAAGACATTACCAAGTCATGAAACAGACAAGAAGAAGAAATGAAATACAGTCAGAGAACCAATCAGGCTAGTCGTTAACTAATCTTAAATATAAATGTAAGTTACATTGGAATTAATAACGATTATTTACCATAAGAATAAAGAGCTTTATATAGCGGTGATCCTTGTATAATCTTCCCCTTTTTTGTTCAGCATCTTTGGGAAGCAGAATTCGTATTTAAAACTAAATTTTGTTCAAGTTCAAGTTCATTTTATTGTTCCATTAAAACCCATTACAAAGTTTCAATCCGTTCGATTTCTTTTAAAATTCATAAGTTTCGTTTGAAATAATTCAGCACGCCGCGAACAGAACGGTTCAGCGCTTCACGGACATGAACCTACTCGTTGAATTTTGCAAAAATATGTAGGATTACTATTCTTAAATCGAAATTAGGAAAAATAGTTAATAATCATTAAATAAACCTAACGTAACGTATGTACAGTTCAAAATACACGCCGTTGAATTACCCGCCTGTTATTGTCCCCAAGATGGCATCTTGAATAGTGCATTCTCTTGTTGATGCAATATAATCGGTAAGAATTTTGCAATACACATTTCTCAATTTTATTATCAAAACAGTTTCAAAGGAATGCGAAATGAAACTGCTATTAAATCTTGCTATAACATCGTCTAAACGACTGTTGTACCTAAATACCAATCTATTAAGTCATACTCCATGCTGGAGAAAAATGGCGAGCGAAGTGGAAAAAGCCCAAACTGCTGCTCCCGGAGGAGACACTATTTTCGGCAAAATACTTCGTAAAGAAATATCTTGCAAATTCATATATGAGGATGACCAGGTAAATGGAAACAATTTTGACGAAAAATACACATTGTCCCTCAATTTCCAGTATTTTATTACAAAAAATTATTTGAGGTTATTCGCCGGCTTATCATTTTAAATGGATGGTCATTACACCGTTTCGTAATCATAGTTTATTTGTACATAAATATTAGTTTCTGAATGTTTTGTTTTCAAGTTTATTTTCAACTTATTGTTAGTATCGTGATATTACTTTCGACATTCTTCTGCGTGCCATTAATACGCTGAATATTTAAATTTTTAATGTCTTCTTATATAATTCGTTTTACAATTGGAGTTGTGTCGTATTGATTGATAAAAAAAAAATTGTTCTGTTGATGCATTAGTGCGTTGCATTTCACGACGTCAACCCCCAAGCACCGGTGCATTTTCTGGTGATTCCACGAAAACCGATCCCGCACCTCTCGACATCGGGGGACGAAGACGAGGCATTGCTGGGTCATTTACTGATAGTCGCGCGAAAAGTGGCGAAACAGCAAAATCTCAATGACGGTTTTCGTTTAGTCATCAACGACGGCAAGCACGGTGCACAATCGGTGTACCATTTGCATCTGCATGTTCTTGGTGGTCGTCAAATGCAGTGGCCTCCTGGTTAAGGAACCTCGCTTATATTCCAATTAACAAAACATTAAATGGTATTGTAACCTTGTGTTATTAAGGGTTATTTAATAATAAAACAACAAAAATAAAAATTTGAATCTGTTCGTGTATTGTGTAAGGAAAGGATTAATTTTATGGAACGAATATCATCTTATTCCCGCTTATATACCTCGTACACGAATTGTATACCATTTTCCTCCTGAATACCCTGAGGAACATTTGGATCCCTGAACAAAAAATAAAAAGAAAAAAACAGGGTAGTTTAACAAAGAAGTAGTTAAATAACTGTACGTAAAAAAAAAAATAAATAAACTTACTCGGTCAAAACAAAATTGTTAGGAATAGGTGGGAAAAAAGTATCGCAGTCGAAGTGCTTTTTTATTTTAGTCAAGTATAGTCGGGAAAAGTTAGGAGACTCCATTGCAGCCTACAACATGTTAGGTGAACATGTAGATTATAGTTAAGAATGCATTGTAATTTGCATAAATGACGCACACCTTGTACACAGAACTCCCTCCTATTACCCATATACTTTCAACTTGATCCTTCAATGGTTCTTTCGAAATAACGTCAATAGCGTGTGGAATACTTTTGCACACGATTGCTTCATTTCCGTAATCCCTGAATATTTATATATAATAATAAAACTTTAATTTTTATAAAGTAGTAAAAAATTCTTACAAGAATTGCGACGTTAAAACTATATTTATTCGGTTTGGTAATGGCCTATACTTGCTCGGAATACATTCCCACGTCCTTCGTCCCATAAGAACAACATTCGTTTTATTTGAATCTTTTGTTTTCGTGGTCATAGACGTGAAAAATGCCATTTCACTTCTGTTATCAGATAATGAAAAATAAAAGATTAAGGCGTTCGTTACTGTTCAAAATCAAACAGGTGTCGTAACTATAAATATTTCATACTTAAGTTTCCATGGTAAAGTCCCTTTTACCCCGATGCCCATACCTTCGCACGCGGCCGCGATCAGATTCAAGCTTAAGCTCATATTGACGAATTAGTTCAAAATTCAACTTATTAATAATGTATACGAATACATCAATCCAATCACTGTTTTTCGAACGTTTTAAGGCTACAGCACTGGCTACAGACTCCTTCGAGGACTGCTCCGGATCGATGTAAGCGCCGTTGGAAAAAATCGGGCATTAAGGAAAACATAATCGAGAAATTGGACAATTGACAGTGCGACATCTAACGTCATTATACAGAATAAGAAACGGAAAGTGAGTAAGCACCGACGAGAGACTGTAATAACACTATCACTAATAATATCACTATTCTACTGCCCATTATCCATCATACCTATTTATCGATTACCCCAGGCCCACTGGGCCCATTGGGCCCACTTGGTGTGCCGCACTTTAACACAGGGGTTGGCAGTCTTTAACTGTTACAATTTTGACCATCAGCAAATGAAACAGTACCTACACAAATGTGTGCACTTATAAAACGTGTAGAAATAGAAATTACAAAACTTCAACTTACATTTACCGGCTGATTTGTATTTCCATAGACATGGATGATAACGTGGCCAAATTAACTAGCATATACCATAAACCCCTCTGACAGAAAATTATCGAACTATTATTACATCCGATGTGTGCAAATCGTAGATTACATTTTACGACTTCCAGAGGTGAGAAATTGTGAAAAATCGAATTTCTATGATATTGTGCTAGTTCAAGAAAGGGTGGTCTGGTGTTTTATCGGTGGAAAAACCATTAAATCATTCAATATTTGCTAAAATACAGCCGAACCCAGCATTCGGCAGCCATCTTATTTGCTTACATCAGCGTCTGTCTCAAACTTACAGTTTCGAAAATACCATTTTTCTGAACGTATGGTGTTTATTAGCGTTCAAACGGACCAGATCACCCTGTGGTGAAGTCTACCCGTATGTGCTGTACCTGCGAAATTTTCATTTTTGCAATTTTCGAGACAAAAAATGATACCTACAAAATCGAGTGCTCTTTCGCACATCATGTATTTATGCGTGCATGCTTTCCGTTGTTTGTGTGAGTACACGCACAGGTTATGGCACAAGAAGTCTGTTCCCTTAATTGTTTAGCTCAGCGCTTCTTAAAAGTTTTTCATTCATGAGCCCTTTTTATCATCGTATTAGAAAAATTGAAGTAAGCAAAAGGTCGAGGCAGGCCATGTATATGTATTTTGATAGAGCGTATCGCTATTCCTTCGCGTATATTAACCCTTCTTAAGGAAAGTCCCCTAACTTGGGGGTGTCGTAAACAAACGGGTATATTATCGAAAGCGTTCTCACGACCGAAGGTTTTTTGGGGCGGCAGAATATTCTTATTCTGACTGTCGTCGTATATGATTACTTACGAATGAAGAGGATACCTTATTTTGGAATACGCCCGCAGTTATTTAATAAAGCTGACATTTTAATCATCCGCTCTGTTAGTCTTACAATTAAATATAAAATAAAGATCTAAAAATAAATATTTTTCTATTTCTTTGTGTAAAAAATGCAACGTCGCCTGCCGTTGGCTTTGGGAGTCCCAAGCGTGGGATCGTCCTTCAAGGGTCGCGTCATTGGACGAGGACAATTTTGAGACAACGATACGGCATTCAAGCGAACGACAGCGTGCGAGCCGCACGCATCGAAGGCCTAAACATCTATTTTCAACGGCAATAAAGTCTTTTATTGAGTCTCGTGCATTTCTCTGTTCGCCCATACAATCCCGTGGATCCTCTTCTCTCAACATTCTTACATTTGGTAAACAATATACATATGGAAAGAAGTAGTTTTAGGATTTGTTTCAAGTATACAAAAATTAATGAAATAAGCAAGTGTTTCCTGGCTTGAAATAAGCAACTCACTAACCCTTCTTTTTTGTTTGAAATCGTCCGCAAAACCAGAGATCCGAGAATAAGTGAGAAGTCGTTTAATGCCAAAATGAGAGAGCATATTATATTTTACCCCTTTTTTAAGAATAACATCGCTGCTTGATGGATTACTTTATAGCGTGCCGTTACCTCGACCCTCGCAGTTGTCTTCCCTCTTTACTCTCGTCTCGGTTCGAGAACAAAGTCAAGGTGAATAATACGTATACCTGATTCGTTATAAGCAAATTTTCACGACCTCAACATTTCGCTTTACGACCCACAATTTACGAAGTGCTGGTTTAGCCTAATGTATTGTCAACCGATCACAAGTCCCGTGAAAATAACGCAATCTGATTGGTCGCGTCCTGCCTCAGTGACGTATAATTAGTCCATGCCGTCATACCTGCTATAAGTAGGCTCCTGTACCTAGGGGGTCAGTTAATGTGTGTATTGTACCCCTTCCCTTTTGCCCCTCTGTCGTTCCGCGAGACTTTTTGTGACCGGTAGACAGTAGTTCCATAAATCACCGTTCTAAATCATAGAGTGCGCAATAGAACAGCTGACAAAAAGGTTTCCTTATCCAAGGTTTGAGTTTCGTAGTGACGCCATATTAGAAATCCGATATCTTTCTTGATAGGTGGCGGCACAAGGACTATGAACAGTTCATACACGACATTCCAAGTTGAATCGGAGTAGCCAAACTTTTGGCTGAGTACTTTTGTAAGATTTTGGCATTCTCCCTGATTTGGATAAATTAGTGATATTGTATAAAAATTTGTACTGTATTATAAGGTAAAATATAGTTGTTCTATCGTTTAATTTTTCATTGCTCGAATTCAGCTTGTGAATATACGTCACATGTTGTTCACATTGGTTTCGAAGCGATTTTGAATGTCTTCTGTGTAAAGTAATTTATAAACAATTATTCTAACGTATTATATCAACTTATGTAAATAAGAGATGCAACTGGTTTGTAAAAAGTTTCAATGTGTCATCGTTTCGCGTATGATGCAAGATGTGTAGGTTATGTCTTCCAGCACCGTTTGAAGTTTAGTACTTGATTCAAAACCAATGTTTTTTATTTCCAACATTTAAAGTTTAATTCAAAACAAGAAAGATCGGAAGTGTTGGTTGATAGATAAATGAAGAATATAATTTTAGGATGTCCAATCGGGAAGGTGGCAAGAAAAAGCCCCTGAAGGCACCTAAAAAGGAACAGAGAGAGATGGATGACCAGGACGTAGCGTTTAAACAAAAGCAGAAGGAACAACAGAAAGCACTTGCCGAAGCTGCGAAAAAAGCAAGTCAAAGAGGACCCCTCGTTACGGGTGGTATAAAAAAATCTGGAAAAAAATGATCCACCACATAAGACTGAAGAAACTTTCAATCTTCGTGCGCACCATGTTCTTATCGAGGCATGATTTTGATATTATCGATTAGTATACTATCCGAAATATTCTTTCGGATTCTCTATTCTGATAAATGGTTAACATTTGTAAATAAAACGTTTATGGATTAAATCACAGCAATATACGCAATTTATAGGCATTTACGTTTTTTCGTTTAATATAACAATTAAATATATTTGAGCGATTTAATCAAGACGTTTCATAAATTACATATCCAATCTACTTAAGTGTCACACATTAATGTTAAGTGTTGTAACATACTCAATGAGCAGTTCCTCACACTTTTTTCATTGCTTAATACTACATTTGATCTCATTTAACTGTTAAATAATAAACCGTTACATCAATTAACCTTGACGCCAAAATACTCTGTTCAAAGAATTCAAACGCGTCTCAGTGATGCAGTCACGCATAAGTCGTACCGACAATAACTATTGCACAAGATCATAGATAAAATACAAAGTATAAAAAGACGCGAAAGATGTGCTGTAAATAATATGCATTCATTCAATCTTCTTGTGCTGTTTATTAAATCATCTAAAAGCATATGTCCATCACAGAAACGTGAATTACAGCTGATTGCCATATGATCGACAGTACTGCCAACCTTTATGGAAAAAATTCCTGGACTGTTCTGTCTCCAGTCTTCGTCAATCCGTCACTTCCAATTTTCGATCCCGATAGAAATTGCATAAAAGATTAATAACAAGAAATTCAATGTTCTATGTACTTCATAAAAACCATACTTTTAATAGACATATGACATCAAGTGATAAATGAAAGGAGAAAATACAAATAATCCATATTTATACTCCGATACGCTTATTCGAAGGTAGCGAGACATTATCAACAAAGCTTCGGTTAAACCCCGTAATAACAATCAAATCCAGTAAGCCAGATTTCCAAGGCGTCTATAACCTGTTATTCGAAATACATTTCGTGTTTGGGAACGCTTCGACTTACAAGGCATTGTTTGATTTCAGGTAAGCTTCCGTGCGTCGTTGTGAAGGGTCGAGAGGAGCAGTTACTTTTATCGAACACGCGTTGGTGCGCGTGCTTGCTCGCGGAGAGCTGTCACTGGCTGGGTCAGTTGGCAACAGACCTTCGAGGTGGTTGGAAGTGGTCGTGTTGTTCGTTCGAATATCGGCGAACCCGTCAAACTTATCTCGTCGAGTTTTCGACGCGTAACCACGATCGAAAGCGAAGCTTCTCGTTTCTGCACCGTGACAGAGGGACTGGATTAGGGAGAGACGAATTCGTGGGTGCGTCGATAAGTCGGGAAAACCATGGAGTTCGTCAGGATCATTTGACCCACGGGAACGACTCCAGGCTCGGTGGATCGTGCTACCTCGCGTGATACTACAAGTCGGTAAGTACTTGCAGTTCTCTATTTATTAGTGTGACAGTCCGTTGCTGTCCCTCCCCTGGGGAGATACGTTCCTTCCCTCTGTCCGTCACGTAAATGCTATGTGCTACGGACGTGTATGCATGTGTTTGCGTGCTGGTCACAAAGGGACACCATGTTATTCACCTGCATCACGTACCATATTGCGAACCTTGTGCTTTTTCTCTGCCTCCTCCACCCTCAGAGGGTTGCGTTCCAACAACCAGCGAAATGATCGAATGCGATTTCCTCGACTGACATGGTGTGAGTACACGTAAACGGTCTATCGTAGTTGTATTGTATCCGCATGAGAGAAAGAGAGAGAGAGAGCATACTCGATTAATGCGTATATCTCTAGCTGTGCGTACCTTGATCGAGCTCGTTCAATTTTTCCTTCTTTCTTTACGAGTTCAGGCCTCGAGGAATCGTTGAATTTTTAACGAAAAAGTTATCGACACTGTCTCTTTAATTTCATTCCGTTGGTGGACTAGAGACAGAGAAGGAAATGCGCGCAGCTGATCGAATGATGTGTCACTAAAAATCTTCCATACAAAGGGTTAGGAATCGCTGCGGGTTAGGTTAGCAGAGTTCTGAGGCCGCAACTCAACCGTCGCGTTCAACCCATTTCTGTTTGTATTTTCAAATATGACATTTAACAGCTACTAGGAATGAAACCAGCGTTTATTTGTAAATAAAAAACAAACATGAGGCGACCAAAGTTCTTCAAAATCGGTTAAAGATCAGGCGAGGTAAAATCATTGCATCATCTTGTGACATTTTATTGATATTTGAATCTAATAAAAATGATGATAAACAGGGAAAGAAACAAGCAGATTTTTTAATAATTTTTTATACAATGAAACTGTTTCTTTGCATTCACAGAAAGTAATTTAACGCCGAATGCAAGTCACGTGTATCATTCGTACAATATCGATGTATTTAATTGAAAGTCGTTTAGTTCGATCTCCCTAGAATTCGAACGTCCTAACCTAGTCAGTCGTGCGTTGACACGTTTAAATCAAGTTATAGCCTGTTTAAACGTGTAACGTTGCTTTGCATCTCGAAATCATTTCATCGCATTGCTTTGAAGGTTTGCAAAGCGTTATTTTGATTCTTCTCATTTCTTACCGCTCTATCGATTTCTCGAATCAATTGCAAAACGATTACTGCGACGAAACTTGCGGACGCACACGTGCGTCCACCTCGGTGCTTTAATCCTCTCGCTGGGGACGTATGTATATACAAGGTGTCTCTGGTCGGGTAATACAACCGGGCGGGATCCTATAAACAAAAATAAGCTGAAAAAAAAGAATAAAGGTTACACAGCCGGATAAGGTGATCAAAAGAGCCTCTAAACCAAATTCGACTTGCGATGGCTCATTCGATAGCTTATCAAGAAAAGACAGTCTGTGCCAAGTTTCAGCCCGGTATTTCATCTAGGGAGGTAGTTATGGGCAAAAATGTAAGATCACGTTTTTAATCAATTTTTTATATGTTTGTGCATGAAAAATTTTGAAAAAAATCACAGACATTTCTATTTATGAGGCACATATTATAGAAGCTTTATAGATTTTTAGATTGGAAACCCAAGCTGTAAAAAATAAAAAAATACTGAAAAATGGCGATTTTGTATTAACTATTCCTCCAGATGAGATACAAGACTGAAATTTGGCATATACTGTTTTTTCTTGATAACCTATCGAATAAACCATTGCAAGTCGAATTTTAATACAGGAGTACTTTTGACCACTTTATTAGAAAAATATTATTTTTCTTTATATAAGTTAGAGGATGCAACCCTCTAGGACAAAAATAATACCCACATCGTCCTTTTGTGAAAAATAGTTTGCTATTGACTTAATTAAAAAATTCTAATTTATTTTCGAGGAATTCAGAAAAATCGGTTTTTTGGGATAACTTTTGATGGCGGTTTTCAATTCTGAAATAAATAAATTAGCACGTATAAAAAAATTTGTGCCTAACATTTTTTGATATACTATAACATGTTACAAAATGGAGAAAATCGGTGAGGTACACCTCGGATAGTTTTCTTGTCAGTGCATATCTACTTGATGAATCTTCGAACTCAATTTTCTCGAAAATGAAAGCTCAAACGAACAAAATTTATTCTTTTTTTTTTCCGACTTATTTTTGCTTATAAAATTACCCCTTGTTCGGTTTTATTACCCGACCTGAGATACCCTGTATACGTTCATATGAATCAATCAGTTGCACCGTTACAAAATAAATTGATTAGTAGCGGTCTGATATAACATTGGATGGAGGGTTATCTTTATCGTCGAGTTTTCGTGATTTCGACCGTTTGTGGTACTACGCACCGCAACAGTCGTTGCGTCAGACTTGGAACACCACGAAAGGAACACGCGCGTGTACGCACAGCGTGCTTGGATTAGGTTATAAACCCAAATCACACAAAATGTTTTTATGATTAAATAAGTATGATTAGTAGTCATAACGCGGGTCTGCGACGCATTATCCGTCGCAGTAGTAACAGAAATGCATAGTAAGACGTGTTGAAGCTCTGATTACTAACGACACGAGTAACTTGAAATTTTTCGTACTTTTTGCAATTAGCGCGATAAACTGCATCTCGATACGAAACGTTACGTTAGAAACGTAAGTAGTATAATTTGTTTCTTCTCAGCCTCCCGCGATGGAAATTTTTTTTCTCCTGATATCAATTTTTTCGAACGTGATAAAAGAAACGTTCCGGGAATAATTTCCTCGATAGACGACGTGAATAATGCCGAGTAAAGTTGATTAAACGTTTCGCCGGGGATTTAACTATATTACGTAAACACGATCACGCGTGGCCGTGCCAAAGAGTCGGTGGGAATTATCAGCAGCGATCTGTTTGAATCTCATTTAACTCATCGTACTTCGTAAATCACTTCCGACTGTAGTTACTGGCCTGTACGCAATGCGGTAACGGAGAAAACGTGGAAATCCTTGTACGTATTTTAATTGCAGACGGAAATTAATTGCACCTGCACTTTTTGATGAACTTTTAATTTGTTGGGAAGATATGAAATAGCATCCGAGAAGATAGGATTGAAATTATTAACCCTTGCCGCGTCATTCTTTTACCTGGACTACTTACAGCAGGGGCAGCCAAACCTTTTTGATCATTGACTCCTAAAAATTTGCTAATTCTCTTATCGACCCCCCCTATAAAAAAATGTTAAAAAAGAAAAAAAATTATGCGTAATAAAAATGACATTGCGTCAGCTAAACTTTACTTACTATTATTGTAATTACAAATGGCATTCCAAACGAAATTTATTGCTGTCAATAAATTTGTGATTGAATAGCATCGGTATTCATCGACCCCTAATCGACTCCCTAGATAGAATCGACCCCTAATTATATTATATCGACCCCCAGGGGTCGATATCGATCACTTTGATAATCCCTGACTTACAGGGAATAATACAGAATCCGGAAATTCAAAAAATTATGAAACTGTGAATTTGTAGAGGATATCCTCCTGATTCAAACGCAATTTTCGTTTGCTGCTCGTTTTCAGTCTGAAGGGGTGAAAATCACCCTTATAATTTCAATCGTTTTTTCATTTTCTTCGAAATCGTTAGAGATATTGAAAAACTTGATAAGCAAAAGTGGTCATGCTGAAACAAGAAATTGTTTAAATAGTTAAGTTTTGCTTATAAAATTTTTCGATATTTCTAACGGTTTTGGTGGAAAAAAGAAATGTAAGACGGCTGAAATTTCAAGGGCGATTTTCACTCCCTTAGACTGAAAACAAGCAGTAAACGAAAATTGTGTTTTAATTAGGAGATCTCCTACATATTCACAGAGTTTCATAATTTTTGGAATTTTCTGATTTGGAATTGTTCCTTGCTAGAATTAGAATGATGAGGATCGATCCAAGAACTTTTCCTATTCACCGTTTAAACGCCACGGTTTCTCCGCTCGTAATAAGTTAGCGACATTATCCCATATACTTTTATGATCTTTAAAAACTAGTACGACGATGATTCAGTGGACTAATCGCACAGACTCGTAAAGTTTTCTCGCATGGCTCCACTTTCTCGACAGCAAGTAGCACATCCTTCGCGTTTCGTGTAGTACGGTTAGTTCTGCTCGCGAGTGCTCACCGTTTAAGAAAAAAGTGTACCATTAAAACGGTACACCGGACTGAATAGGGTTTTCCTTCTTAAAAGCTCGCGAGACAAATGAACGCGTTCGTATGGAGATCCCTTCGAATAATTTCCATTGTCTGAACAAGATACTCGGCTGATATTGTTATTCATGCCTGAATTGATAACAAGTAACAAAAACACCGCTGTACTTGTTAAACTTGCAAAATTAATTATTCTTGACGCAGGCTGCGTTGTCACCTTCGATAAACTGGTTAGTCCTTCGATAGCGTGTCGTAAACTTACGGTCATTAACACCCATAGGGTAGCTCGGCGTAATATGCTACTTTTTAAAATAATTTCTTATTTCATTCAGAGTTGTCGATTATTACCTGTTTATTTTGTTTAGTTAAATGCAAACTTTCATTTTCGTTTATTTCCAAACTAATCCTGATAAGTTATAAAACTGTCGGTTTGATGTAATTCGATGCTCTAATTAGAATGTAGATTATTTATTTGTGCGAATAGTCACGCAATTAATTAGTAAAATTAATAGTACATAATGAACTACACTAATAAAAAAATTGTATAACCTCTCAAATATTTACTAATCGTAAAGAATTTCTCGATATTTTTATTTTTATTTTTGAAATTTTAATATGTCACAAATGGCATAATACTCACAAAAGTTGAATGTATAACATTTTTCTATTTTATGAACTGTAGTTGTTCTTTCTTCTCAGAACCATGCCTAGAAAATATTCAAACCGTATTTGATAGTCAGAAGAAAGTTTAAAAGAAGCCATGAAGATGGTGAATGAGGCTCGTACTGCAATATGGCAAGCTACGAAAGATTATGTCATACCA